ATAAATATATAAATAAATTTAGTTAGTTGGACCGGCTGATAAAAGGCCCTCTTTCTTAAAAGGAAGCCATTTTAGCTATTCTCTCTACTTAAAAATTATATATATTTTATTTTCATTCATTCAATCACAGTTTTAATCAGTCAATCCTTCCCTACTTCCATTTTTCTGTTGTTTCCTCCATTTTTCTTCTTCATTTCCTTCTCTTCTACCCCTTTAAATGTCCCATGCCATATTTTTACCTGTTTCCCCCAAAAATATTTTTTTCTAAATTTTGCTAAGCGAAGGTATTATGAGAAGAGCTCCTGTCGTATTTTTGCATTTTCAGCATTTACGGGAAGAAGGAAATTTTTTTAGCTCTGACAGCAAAAGACATAAGACTGTTTTTATTAAAAATAAAAATATATATGGAGTACATTTAATCTTATTATTTAACTAAAAACAGTCCAAAAAATTGTCCAAAAATATAAAGATATTGTCCAAAAATTATTAAAAAAATTTCTAAGTCCAAAAAAATTTCTAAAAAAATTTTCTAAAAGAATTTTTCAAAAAATTTTCAAAAATTTCCCCAAAAATTTTCAAAAAATTTCCCCAAAAAATTTTTTCAAAAAAATTTTTCCTTCCCCAAAAAATACCCTTCCACCTATGCTTCTTTATTCATTAAAAATTTTATTTTTATATTTTCGTTTTCTCCGTTTATTTTTTAATTTTTGGATTTCAATTTATTTAATTTTAATTAAAAGAATGACTGCAACAACAACAACAACTTCTTCAGACTTTTCCCCAATTATTTCACAAAAATCAAGTTTTACTTCAGAACAGTCAATGCCTATATTGAATTTAGAAGCCAAAGAATTAATTACTAAATCTGTTGTTGTGTATTTGGATAGGGCCGAGGTTAAGAGGAAAATTGTTTTTCAGAGGCCTGAACAGATTCAATTGCCTTTTAAGATGATGATTAGAATTAATGTAAGTGTACCCCTAGAAAATAATTTTTGTAAAATCTATCTTTTTCAAGTCAGTAGAAATACTAATAAGGTCCTTATAAAATAAAAGTCTAAAATTACCGTATTTTCCTACTTACTTACCTTGATACCAGGGCTGAAGAATTTTGAATTTTAAAAAGCAGAAGGCGGGAGCGGAAGAAAATCCAGTCCTGCTGGATACTTATTGTTCAATATACCTCTCTTAAATCGAGAGAATCCGATAAATAATTTCGAGTCCGGAATGTATTTATCGGGATTGGTATCTTTCAGTATTAGGGTACGGAATGCTGTACGGTACATAATTCCAATCTCTTACAAATATCTAAATTTTCTTTAGAAATTTTATTTTATATTATTAAAAGACTGTCCTTATAATGTCCTTATAATGTCCCTATAATGTCCTTGTTAATGTCCTTGTTGATGTCCTTATAAAAATAAAAATCTTATACTTTTCTTATAAATCTGATAAAAATCTGAAAAGTTTTTTCCAAAAATTCTTATTTTATTCAACTCCCAGAATGTCTCTCCAATGATCGCGCGTGACTCAATCCGAGTAGATGGTCAAAGCGGTGTACTAATTTTGGATGTCGATTATGTCGAAATACCCCAATTTTGTAATAATGATGATGGAAGTGAAAATGTAAGAGGAAAATAACCCTTTTAATTTAATTAGTAATTTAATTTTCCCTAAAAAAGATATCCTTTCTTGAACTGGAAACAACCGATTTAGAGGGGAATTGTGCTGCCTTAAACGATCAAATCGATGTATTACAGAAAAGGCTAGATGTTCTAGATGGTGTTGCTAAACAGGTAGAGGATGATAGTTTTTTTGGAAGGGAAATATTTGAAATATGGAAAAATTTAAAAAAAAATGGAAAAAATTTTTTTGAAAATTTTTGCCAGTCTTTTAAGAAAAATATAAAAAATATTAACCAATATTAAAAAGTCATTACTAGAGTCCGACATTTTAGGTTCCGACCTATTTTTTTTGCAACCTTGTAATGTTGAGTAAAGCTCAAAAAACACTTATTTGGCACGGTACCATGATCCTACATTGGACCTATTTGAGCCTAAAAAACCTATTTCGGCCTTTTTGGACCTAAAACCTATTTGAACCTATTTTGACCTTTTTCGGGCCTATTTTAGGTTTTTTGAAGATTTTTCTTAAAATTTGACTATTTTTAGTAAAATATTCAATATTTCCCCATGAAATGTCGGAAAATAAAAAAATTTAGTAAGGGTTAAATTTTAATTTTTAGTAAAATATTCAATATTTCCCCATGAAATGTCGGAAAATAAAAAAATTTAGTAATTATCAAAAAGGTGAATTTTTCCGCAAAATGTATCTAAAATTCTCAAAATTTTCGCCTGCGGCGCCAAAAATTCAGCTGAGTTTATTATGGCCTTTATTTTTCAATGAGTCTCATTGTTTGAGTGATCTTCATATGTGAATAGGGTTGCCAAAATGGCTCGACTCGGACCGAAAACGAGTTCACCAGAAAGAGCTCGTTAAGCCGAGTCGAATGACACCAAAATCAGCTCGATTTGATGATTCAGAACAAAATCATAACTAATTAAAATCCTCGATGGAAAAACTTGATGCTACGTGGGGGTATCGAATAAGCGATAAGAGTTGTTTTTTAGTGAAATTCGAATTTACTCCCACGAATTTTATTCATTATTTAAAGTAGGAAAAATTTTTTTTCAAAATTTTTTTTATTTTATCAATACAGTAACCCAAAATTCGAACCTATTTGGTCAAAATTCTGACCTATTTTGGCCTTTTTTGGATTTTTTCGAACCTATTTTGCCACTTTAAAAACCTAAAATAGGAACCTATTTCTCACTTTTTCGGACCTAAAATGTCGGACTCTAGTCATTACTAACCGATAACTTGAATTTGCATATTTATTGATACAAGCGTGCGTTACCTAACTTCTATGGAAATTTTTAACTTAGTAATTCTCGAGTTATGGTCGAAGAATCAAAAAATACACTTAAAATCGATGTATTTTTCTAAAATTCTGGTAATTTCTGGCTTATGTTTATTTAAAAATTCTGGAATATTTAACGAAGCATACATTGGTCCTAAAAACGTCTTAATAATTTTATATCTAGATAGGAAAAAATGCCCTAGTATCCACTGATGCTGTTCAACAGAGACGTTGTGGAGTCCAATCAGCTCAACAAATACAGGACCAACAGCAAATAAATGGGTGTATTGAAGGTGGAGCACAACAAAGTGTGTAAATTTTTGGAAATTTTTATTTATGAGGGGAAACACTACTAAACACAGTCGACCTCAATATAGGATGTACCCAATACTGGATGATACACATCCATTTAAGAGACCTCATTATAAACTCCGAGTTTTTTCAGCCCAGAAGGTGTATCGTATTAAGGTCTGTCTGACTTTCTTCCTTTTAAAGATGTTTCGATGCAATTTGCACCAACCAGCTTATTTTTATTAAATGAGGATTCAATGAAGAATTTGAGCTCATTTCTTGATTATTATGGTGAATTAAATAATTATTAAATTAAAAAATAATTTTCTTTGAGGTAAAACAGCTGGAGAAACAAGAAGTGAATTGAGGCAAAAAGCAAAGGAATTGGCTGAATTAAAGGAGAGACTAGCAAAGTCTGAATGGGAATTGAACAAACAGAGAGGGAAAATGGAATATGACAAAAATAAAAGGTGGGAATGCAAGGAATTTGTTTTGTTTTTAGATGAATGAGGGAATGAGGATATTTATTTCATCCCTCCTCCCCACAAGAAAAAGATTATAGAGTTTTTGCTGGACTTGTTTAAAATGGAGCGAAATGCATGAAGAACTAACTCTTTGAACTTTTATCTCAAAGTCTGGAACATCCCTTTCTAAACCCCTTTTACAGCGAACTGGATAAAGAATATGTAGAAGAACAAATAACCCAGAATCTTAGGAATTCTGATTTTCAACTATTTTTCATTTTGTGGGAGATTTCCAAGGGGAGATTTTCCATTACTTGTTCCTCTCCCTTTATTTTTACTTCTTCACCTTTTAATCTCTCCAAAAATTTATTCAGAAGCATCAATTTGCTCGTTGAAATTCTGTCAAATGAGGAGGATTCTTCTATTGACTCTTCTATTGGGGATGGACACTGCGAACTTTTATTGGTCTACCAGGTTTTTAGTTGTACATGGAGGCCTTCGTATTCGTTGAGAGCTTCGAGTTCGGGTAGGAAAAAATTTTGGGTAAAATTTCAAAAAAAATTTTTTAGGTGTCTTAAACAGCCGTTACTTGTCAAAGAGAAAAATGTCTCGCTCTTCATTGAAAATTAAGGCTGGAACTAGCAATGAAAATTTACCTGAAGAAAGGGAAGATGAGGAGGAGGAAAATGAAGAAAAACGAGGGAATAAGGAAGAGGAAGAAATTAAAAAGAAAGAAGAGAAACTTTTAAAAGAGAAGAAGGAACGAAGGGAGGAAGATTGTTCTGAAGCTATTCTTCTTTCCTTTCATGGAATGGTTGAGCAAAATACTGACGAGGCAAACTTTTCAATTTGAAAATTTAATAAAAATTCTTAAAGTTAAAAAATGTAAGCACAAAAATTAGTTTAAGCCCAACATACATATACTTAGATTTTATTCAAATATAAATATTCAACTAGAAGCCCTGGGGGTGGGCTTCTAATACAGCTTGAGCTTCTATTAGACATTTATTTATATGAGGTCCCTTTCCACAGGCTGTGGCCAGATTCTTGGATTGGTTAAGATCCGATCCTTGCTAAGATTCTTTTTAATCGGATATATTCTTCCTCTCGAGAATAACAACCAGAGCTTTTCAATTTCGACTTTTTGAATTTCGAACTTCATTTGAAAAGAAATAACTTTTTTTAAATTTTTTTTGAAAAAGTTCTTGAAATAAATAACCTCCAGACTTATAGATTTATTTTTCTTTAGGACTGGAAAGATGCCCAATTAATTCTTAGCACAGCACAGCCTTGTTCTGCAAATTCAGTTCCATGCGTTCCTTCACTTAATGCAATGCTTCAAAGAACTGTTATTAGGCTAGTTTATTGTTCAATTAATTTAAATTCTTTAATTTTTTAGTGGTTTTCGACAAAGAAATCATTCAACAGCAACAGCTAGACATAGAAGAATGTTAAACAGCCATGCTGCTTCTCAAGAGGATTTGGATGCGGGGATAGGATCTTTTGATTATAATGAGCTAATTGATGCACAGGCAAATAGAAACCTTATTTTAGACACCTCTATTTCGTAAACCTCTTTTGTATGGACACATTTAAAAGTCCACAAAACTGAGGTGTTAATTAATAGTGTCCATAAAATAGAGGGTGCTGCTAATATGTCTGTTATATTGAAGACATTGCTAAAAAGAAAGTCTATTAACCATAAGGTTTCCATTAAATAGAGGATTTTATAAAATATTGTCTAGGGCTGAACGTCATGGCGTTTGGCGTCCATTTTTGGCAGATTTTTGGCGTTTTACGTTTGGCGTGTTTTAAAAATTTGAAAAATCTTCGTTAAAATTTTGGCGCACGTCCCTGTACACTATGATAGCTAGCTCGGTAGAAAGCTTGATTGAGTCAGAAAATTGTCCATAAAATAGGGGGTTTGCAAAATAGTTGGAGAGAGAATTTCAGACTCACTAACCAAAATGCCAAATAATAATCTTTCCAAAAATTTCAGCATTTACAACAACAAATGAGAGCTGCAGCAATTGCAACATCTGTGCATGGAAGTGGTTCAGAAAATTATTCAATTCATGTAAATATTTTTAGAAAAATATTTTTAAGTAAAAAAAATTATTTTTGCAGTCACTTGAACAAATGCCATCCACCTATTTTCCTATAGACCATCCTTGCACTATTCCAGCTGATGGTCAGCCACATAAGGTGGGAAGAAATTTTAAAATATTTTTTTTTATTTTTCTTAAATTTTTGGGCAAAAAACCAAACATCAATTTTCAATTTAAATGCAAAAAGATAAGGAACAAGAAATATATATTTATTTACAATAGGGCAATATTATCTATTTATCTCTCTCACATTTCTATTTATTCTTCAAACTTCCGGCAGCGTCTTAGTTTCCACAGGAGTCATTGCCTCATTATCCTCTCCCTCCTTAGTTTCCCCACCGTCTGTCTGTGCTTGCCCCATTGGAGCTGTAACCGACTTTCCATCTTCCGGTGCTGTCTTTGCGCTTTCAGCATCCACTTGAACTGCCGTATTGACGTCTGGTCCATATTCCGAGTTTGCTGTAGTTATCACAATACTTCTAGCACTCCTTGTCTGAAAAAATAAAAATTTTTGGATTACATTTATCTTCTAAAGAGAAGGTTTATTACCATTTTTTCTTCCTCTGGCTTCTCCTTTTCATTCTTATTCATATTGAAGTAGAGCCACCCTGCATTTGTGCCGATACAGCTAATCAGTAGAAGAACAAGAAAAACAATCCAGATAAACGAGGATGACGAGTTTGTTTCAGCAGAAGGAGCTGGAGGGGTTGTCGTTTTTGTTGTAGTCGTTGAAGTTGTAGTCGGAGGGACTGGACACAAAGGACAAGCAGTACACTTTATAGCTGGTTCCGTTGGACACGAAGGACACACAGGACAGGTAGCACACGCTGGTTCCGTTGGACACGAAGGACAAGTAGCACACTTTATAGCTGGTTTCGTTGGACAGATTTTTGGTGTCGGTGTAGTAGTAGTAGTCGTTGTTGGTGGCGGTGGAGGAGGGACATAAAGCAGCTCGTAGTATTTTCTGTCCTACATTAAATAAATTTAGAGGTTTTTCAAAAATTTATGTAAAAGCTCACAAACTGGACGAAGAGATCACAACGCGTCCTGGCTCGTTTATCTACGAGCTTTTTAACATCGAACACAACAGTCGCACTCACTGGAAGCAGGCTGAAGACAAGTAGACGTTTATCTTTCAGATTCTCATTTCTGATGGTCCATGTTTCTGGGGCAACGAAGGGATTGTTCTTTGGAACGCATAAAATTTTGTCCAGTGACGAGTCGAAGGATTTCTTTTCTCCACTAAAATTCATCGAGAATTTGCCTCCGCTTTCTATCTCCATGTTGATGGCCACTTCTTCAGCAGTAAAACTCGGGGAATGATCAGTCTTGCCTGGACCCAAATCTCCGACTGAAAAAACAAAAATATAATTGAGATATGTACAATTAATAGCTTTATTTGACCTAGATAGGTGTGAGCGAAGACATTCTCAAATACTCTGGTCCATGAGATTTCGAGAGTCGTCCACGGCATGCACATTCCACATTCCTGTTTGTTACAATCTTCCTTGTGAGCATAGATTGGACCATGGCTGAGCCTTTCGACGACCTTGTTATTTTTGCTGTAGACGAACGGCATACTAAAGGCTTGAAATCAAATTCTACTAAAATTTAAAGCCTACATATAATTAGAGCTGTCCTGGACAATGAAAGCCTCATCAAGACAATCTCCAAGCTCTCCTCCTTTGTTCCTCACTCCAGCCTTGAACTTGATCTTGTTGTTGTAGTTTACGTTTTTGACGAGCAGGTCCACTGTGCATCCGGTATTGTTGTTGTACTGAAGCTCACTGGAATGGAAAACAATTAGATCTTAAGTTCTTTGAAAAAAACAAACTTACATGGTATCGTTGTCGATCTTAACATCACATGCATTCGGGAAGCGCTTCCTGTACTCGTCGGAGTTGAAGTTTGTCTCGTTGGCCTTAATAGTGGAGTCTACCAGCGTAACATTCTTGCCAATCTTTTTGTGATTGGCGACTCCGACGCTTCCGTCATTGTTGGACTGTCCGGGTACTTTAAGCACAAGGAATGTTGCGATGACGAGCAGCAGCAAGGAGCACAGCGTTGATGACTTCCTTGTTCCAGGGCCGGTGTCGAGCTTCATTGGAAGAAGGCCGAGCATGAAGAATTGTTGCTGTAGGCGAAATAGATGTTTGAAGATTTGTAGATTTGTAATGAGTTTTGTAGAGTTGTTGGGATGCTGGGACTTTTTATAGTAAAACTAGGGTACGTCGAGTACCGAGTAATTGGAAAAAACCGAGCTCGAGTATGCCGAGTTTGAAAAATCCGAGTTCATGGCTGGGTAGTAGGCATTTGTTGGCAGTGATGCGGGGGATCTTCATCCAAATCCCAGTTATACCCTCCATGATATCGCCCACGATCCATGTTGACTCCGTGTGGAAAATCAATGGATTTCAGTGGATTTGCATAGTAAAAACTAATCTCTTCTGTATCGAATTAGGGGCAACTAACATCATCGAGCTTGTAAACAAATCTTTTCTTTTTCTTTGGCTTTTGCTTCCCTACTGATTTTAATTAAAATTATTTTTATAAAAATATCTCTTTTTTTCATTCAACCTTTCGGCTTTATTTATTTTATTTTCCATCTTTTGAGTAATTTGTACTTAAAATTTATCAAAAAATCTGTTTTGTAATTTTTATTTGTTCCAAGGAACAAAGTATTCAAAATATTATTTATTATTGACATGTTTTTTAAGTTAAATTTCAATGAAAAAAAATGAATAGAATGGAGTAAATATGAAAAAATAAGTAGAAAATAAAAAAGAGGGAAAATTTATTTTATTAAGCCCTAATTTTACTGGGATTATGCCAAAATAACAATCGTAAGCCAACATAAGATACCCCCTTAGGGGACGAAAAATTGACTCTATAATGAGGTGTATATTAAATAGAGGATATCGCTTGGGCTAATGGGGGTATCTAATAGAGAGGGTATTTTATAATGAGATGTATTTTAAATAGAAGGTCAGGCAGCTACACCTACCCAGTGGCCTATCAAAATTTAAAAACGCCTCTTAAATAGAGTGTATCTAGTATTGGGGGGTATCTTATAGTGAAGTCCGACTTAGGATTGACTGTGACTAATTTATAATTTCTATAGATTGATATTGCACATATTGAACTTTTGCCTACTTATTGGCATGAATGTGTTCCTTCTCGGATGTCAAGTGCATTTATCAAGTACTATTAAAAAATAATTCTTTAAAAAAAGATTTTTAAGTGCAAAGTTGGTCAATTGTTCGCCATTACCACTACTTCCTGGGCCGCTTTCTGTCTTTTTCAACAACAGCTTTGTGTCTACTGTAAGGAAATCATTTTAAATTTTTCTGTAGCCCCCTCCATCTTACTATAAAATTTATAAATATACAGTCTGTCTTTTAAGGTGGGACAATTGAGAGTATCCGTCGAAATAGGGGGTAGGTAAAATTACTTTTACTAATTTGTCTTAGGCTCTCTTTGTTGTCCTCTCATTTTCTTCAGGTTTCCCAATATTCCGGCCCTGTACAATATACCCGCTCAAAGATCACCTTCTTTGAGCGTCTATTAGAAATAGGCCCCTATTAGAAGAATTCTTAGATGGATAGCGCTTGGAGGATTTTTCAATTACCTATATTATTTCTAGCTTGTGTCAAGCTCTCAGTTATCCCAGATAGGGACATTATTTTTTGCTATAGGATAAGATTGAGATTTTTATTTAATGCAGATTAAAAAAATTTTTTTTCAGAGTAATTTAAAACTTGTACTTCCTGGAGAGGAGTTCCGCTGTCTATTAGGTGTAGATCCAGCCATCAAAGTAGAATACAAAAGGGCAAATACTTCAAACGAGCAATTCGGTTTTATGACAAAGAAAAGTTTATCTACACATGAACAAGCAATTTCTTTACGAAATGCAAAGGCTAATCAAAGTGTTCAAATAACAATACGTGAGCCGATACCTAAAGCGGTTGATGACCAAGTTAAGGTGAATGAATGAAATATTTTAATTTGGAATAGCTATGTGTGCGCGGGTACATTGCCTTCTTCCTCAACCCTTTTTATTTTCCAAAAATGTGTACATTGAATTGTTCGTATCCGCGCACTAAAGTACTTTTATTAATCTAATAATTAAAATATTTTTCTGGGAAACATTTTTTGGCAAAAATTAAATAAGGGACTCTGTAGATAAGGGACTCTTTTAAATAATTTTTTCTTCCCCCAAAATTTTTTTATTTTTCCAAAAACAATTTTTCAGTCATCTATAAAATCAAAGCAAAGGCCCCGCTTTCTGATGTAGAGTGTTTTTGTTACTCTACTTTTGGGACACCCGAAGCATAAATATATTTAAGTGAGTAAAATATTTTTTTAATTTTTTTGCTTGAAAAATGTTTCTCAGAAAATTAATTTTTTTTAGAATAATTCAAAAAAATTTCTTTCTATCCCCCACAGATTGCTCTAATCCAGCCAGACCTCAAAACCCAAAAATCGGAATGTCGACTAACCAAGGAGCATAATTTGGAATGGACTGTTAAACTTGCACCCGGTGAATAGCGCGAACTTGTTGTTAAGTGGACAGCTGAATATCCGGCACAGGAGGTGAAATATAGTTCTCAAAAACTTTTGGTGGGGAAAAATAGAAAATTTTGAAGGAAAAAATAATTTTCTGGAAAAATTTTTTAATAAGAGAATTTCAATTAATTAACAATTTTTTTTTGGTTTTATTTTGTAATCTCCAGTTTATTTTTTATATTAACTCTTTAACTTATTCCACCCTTCGAGATAACAAAAAAATTCTTTTGGATTAAGTGGGAGAGAGATGCATAATAGGGATTTAAAAACTGAAGAGATTTCATCCTTGGTATTTAGGTAGAAAAATTAGTGGCCCGCTTGGGATAAGATTTACTAGAGAGAGGAGAAGGGAGATCGCATTGGAGACACTTTTGCAAGCATTTTTTAAAATTCTTCAGAAGCTTCGACCCTTGAATTTTTATTAAAAATAAACGAAAACTAGCTATATTTCTTAGTATAGAGACTAAGTAGGGTTGTCGTTTCTTGAAAAATCTTCGGATATCCAAAACCGATCAAAAATCTAATTTTAAGTTCGGTTCAGTACCAACAGTCCTAGTAGCGAAATAACATGTGTTAAAGTTAAGGAAAGATTCTAAGTGGGAAACGTGTTATTAAATAAGAAATTTTGCTTCATAAATTTATAAATAATTATATTTAATTGCAGTGTGTACTCTTCACAAGCGGTAATTCTTGCCCAAGTCTACACATTGCTCCAACATATGGGAGAATTCATTAATAAAATTTGTGTTTGTTTGTTGCTGTTAAAGAGAAAATTATTAGAATGCTTATTGGAATAGGCAAAAAAATTTTTTAACATTTTTAAAAATTAATTCAATTCGTGCTCTTAATTAATTAATTAATTCTTGCCTTTATTTTTTTTAAAATTACTCACTTATTCCATTTTAAATAAGGCTTCTCTCTCCCACTTAGCCCTTTTATTTTGTGATATATCTTGGTTATGTTCCTAGCTTTTGATTAAGTCGACCTCCCTCCAGACCTCCCTCCAAACGAGGGTTGGAAGCCCGATCCGGCCCGGTCCGAAAGATTGAGTGGGGCTTCGAATTCTAGCCCTAAAAATACTCGGTCAGGCCCGATAAATGAGGCCAGAACAACCCCAAACCTCCCTCCAAACAGTACTAAGATTTTTTCGAGACTGGTGAGCTAATGCGAGAACCTCAAAGTCAGTTTATCCCAAAAATTTTTTCCGGAGGATGGACTAAGTGAGAAAGAGAGAAACAATTAAATATTTATACTCTTATTTTCCTATTTATAATTTAATTATATTTTTCTAATTTAATTTATATTATTTTATTTAGCAATTTTATTATAATACTAGGTATTTCCTTTATTTAATTTAAGTCGGACCTCTTTGAGATTTACTCTCTATATTAAATACACATCAATTTATGACGTTTTTTAAAGTTGATTGGGGATTGGGGAGCTGCCTAAGTGAGAGATATTTAATATTCCTCTTATTGTAAGGTACCGATTTTTCAGCCCCAAGGCCCCCATCCCTTAACGAGGTTCGACTTTGCCAATTTTAGAATATTCTTCATTTCCTTTAAAATTTTTTTTATTTATTTTTGTGATGCTTTCCTATTTTGATTTGCTGATAAAGAATGAAAAGGGAAATTACTAAATTATCTAAAAATATTTGAACTAAAATTGATTCAGCAAATGGGCAAAGAATAGAGAAATTAAAGTGTTAATATCTCGAGAACAATTTTCTGAACTTACGGACACGTGATATTCATATCTAAGTCCACTTCAATTTTTGGAGACAAAATGCCATCTTGGAAAGAAGCGGCTTGTACTGGGAAAGCTAACCCCTCAACTTGGAAAGCTGCTCGTAATAATAAGTCGAAAAAGACAGGGCATCGTGTAATTTAATTAAGATACCTAAGTTATTATAATTATTTATTAAAATTATTTTTTTAATTTATTCAAAAACAAAAAAAAATAAAATATGTATTATAATTCCATGTTTTTTTATTAACCGGGTAAAATTCTAATAAAATTTAATTGGCAAAATATGCAAAATTAAGAGTGAAATGCGCGCAATTATGGCGAGAATCGAAAATATTATTAAAAAATTTGTGGGAAAATTTATTATTTTATAGAATGGTTATTTTAAGCAATCTCTATCTTATCCCAACCTCAGATTTTTTATTTTAAATAAAATTCTTTCACGTACTGAAATCAAGCATCTCCGAGTTTGAAACCCTCTCATCTTCTATTATTTAAGATATAGAATAAGGTTATTAACACAATCACGTATTAGAACATCAAAAAGCTCATTAGAATATTGAGCCCTATCCTAGCCTCATCCCTCATTCCATCCCTCAACCTCATCCAGCCTTATCCTCATCCCTCATCCCAGTACAACCTCATCCAGGTTGTACTCAAGCATCTTCGAGTATCGATCAACCCTAATTGAAATCGCTTAACTAACTTTCCAACTCTCTCACATATTTAATATTTAAAACGTCAGACATATCTCAATCTGTTAGATATCCATAATTAGTTATCCCGAAAAAGCTGTTAGATATCCGCAAAGGTAGCCTGGATGGGTTAAGATAGAGATTTAAATAAAAAAATAAAATATATTAAAATTTAATTGTGATCACATAGTAATTTTCTGATTTGAGAAGATTAGAAAAGGGAAAATGTACAAAAAAACTAAATTAATAAAAAATAAAAAAGGATCGGGGAAAAAAGGTTGAAGTAAATTAAAATTAATATCAAAAAGAAGATTGTCTCATTTCTTCACCGGTTTTTTTCAACTATTAGAAATTAGCTGTAAATTATCAAAGTGTGGGTTTGTGTAGCTGAAGTTAGCAAAAGTATCTGGATCCTGAAAAGAAAACAAGAAAATTACTAATTTAAATAAAATTCAAAATAAAAAATTATTAGAGAAAATAATGGCTGGACCCATCCCAAGTAAAAGCATTAAGATTGTCGGATCCGAATATCCGGAAATTTTCTGGATCCGGATATCCGAAGATTTTCAACTATCCAACAACCTTAAAAAGCATCCCAGAAAATAGTTCTGCGGCCTTAACACTCAAAAGCTTAGGGACATGACAAGGACAAGTCAAGGCCAATTGTCTTGGACAGATTTCCCTTTTCCTCGAAAACTATTGGAATTCTTTCCTTCCAATTTCAGTCTCTTGCGATTCCTGCTTATTACAACCTACTTCTACTTTTCTTCTCAAAAAACTTACAATAGAGGCAAGTAAATGCTTGTCTTGAATTGGAGTTAACAAAGCCTTTTCTTGAGTAAAATCGTCATCAAAATTGGAAGTATCATCAGCACTTTTCTATAAAAATGGGGGATTTTTAAAAGTTTAAAAATAAAATACCACAAGAGGTTTAAATGGAGGTATTGTTTGTCTAGTTTCAAACTTTTTCCAATCAACACCTCTAAAGAATGAGTGCTGGCGGATGGGGCCTAAAAATTGGGTTTTGAATGGATTTCTTGATTAAGTGAAAATTTTTGAAAATTTTCAAAAAATTTCAAAAAAAAATTCCAAAAAAATTTTTCAAAAAATTTCTTCATTAAAAAAATTTTATTTTCACCATCAGGGCATTCAGGCATCCCTAGTCTTGTATTTGGATTTCGATCAAATAGCTGAAAAATTTCAATTTATTTTACTTAATATAAAATAAAAAATTAAAAAAATTAATTTACAGCAGATAATATTTTCGCAGATTCTTTCCCAATCCATTTTGGAAAATATGGACGTTCATTAAGTATAGCATCGAATAATTCATCTTCCCCATCTCCATGAAAAGGTGATTGGCCAATAAGCATTTCGTACATTAACACTCTAGAAATGTTTAGTATTTATTTAGCACATTTGTATAAGAAAATAAAGAGTTTAAAGGGTAAATTAAAATGATGGATAATGCATTGATTATTAATTCTGTGTAAATCAGAAATGATCAGAATAAATCAAAAAACAAATTAAAAAATTATATGTTTAACAAGTTTAGGATACTCTATAATACGGCCAGTTTCCCCCATAAATAAAATAAAATATTTGCGGACTATTATAGACTTTTGCGAACACTCCACTAACTTTCTCTAGTATTATAGGTAGGGTTGGTGGAGTCGTACTAGAGCTTCGCCGGAAGTTCCGGTTCCAATAGGCCGGAAGTTTCGGGATTTTTTGGATTTTTTTGGTTCCGGTTCCGATCAAATTTACGGTTCCGGCGAAGCACTAATCCATACCCTTCGAGGTTAACAAGTTCGGGGTTGGGGGGTTGACAGAATATCAGAGGTTTTAAACTAAAAAGGGTATGGATCCGTGTTAGATGGGATCGGGGTCCAATCCTATTTACAAGGGTTTTGATGTGCTATATGCCACCAAAATAGTTCTAATTAAAATTTGAACGTGTTACAGTTTTGCCTGCAAATATCAGGTAGGCGAAACGGAAAAATAAAAATGAGAAAAAGGCAAAAAAGGCAAAAATATAAAAGAAAACTCAAAGCTAAATAAACCTTTTTTTCTACAAAAAAAATTTTTTGGACAATAAAATAAAAGAAATTTGTGTTCTTAGCTATTCGTCTTTAAAGGCAGAAGAATGGCCAAGAAAGCAAAAAAAGATTGTTTTTGGTTTGTTTTGTGTTTGGATAGAAGATTGAAGGGATTAGAAGAAAGGAAAAGGAAGGTTTTTATTTGTTTGTTTATATTTTTGCCTTAATTTTGGAATTATTTTATTTATTATTTTTGTATAGTTTTTAAGCTTGAAAAGGATATAGGGGCAAATTTGTATAGGAATGGAGAATCGCATCACATATTCATTAGTTAGATTATTATGTGCATTGTTTCGTTTAGAAACCTGTTTCAAGAACAGTGGTTACAATTCAGAACCGGATCTTTCAAAGATTGGAAGCGCTCTCTGCAACTGGAATTGATGTTAGTAATCTGAGATGTTAGGAATTTCTGAGATAAGCTAATGAAAACACAAATATAAGTATTTTTTATTTGAATCACACACATTCCTAGGTTAGATTATTGTGCTTGTATTCGTCCGGCCGGAAGAACCGAGGAACTGTTAGATTTTTAGGAATCGGAAGAACATTGATTGTACGTGTTTAGAATAAAGATAGGTAGGTAATTAGAAAAAGCACAAAGGAAATTTTAATAAAATGAATCATGCCAAATAATTTGTTCTAATTTTAGCTAAACATTCTGAGAATTTACAATTAGATGCTAAAGGTCCATGAACAAATTACGGTACTATAAAAGCCTAGTTGTTTGTTTTATTCTTCCCTCCAAACGCAACAAAATCTTCAATCACTTCAACTCTACGTCAACATCATCTAAACAAACAACGAAACAAAACGCTTCATGCTCTTCTGCCTCCTTCATCCAATGGACCACAACACCGGACCTTTGGCAAGGAAGTCGACGACGCTTTGTGCTCTGCTGCCGATATCCATCGCCGCGCTCCTAGTGCTTGCAATTCCTGGACAGGCCAACGTTGAGGAAGTCGGAGTTGCCGACCACATCAAGAATGGAAGCGATGTGACGCTCAAAGCAGTCAGTAAGCAGGCCAGCGATGACTTAACTTATGCCGAGTACGTGAAGACTTTTCCTACTGTCTGTAATTTTTCGATCACCAAGGAACACATGTAAGTTGATTTTTCTTAAATTTGGGGAAATGTCTTTTTTAATTTTCAGTGAGCTTCTATACAAAGGCAAAGAGTGCACTGTGGAACTCATCACCACGGAAATAAACATTGTCAAATTCACGACTGGATACGTGAAAGCTGGTTGTACTTTAGATACCTGCGACGATGGTAAAGTCGGCTTTAAGCATGGCTTTTCAAATCTGTAAGTTACAGTTAAATATCGATATGAACAGTCTCTAACAAACCCAATTTTAGCCTACCGTTCGCCTACAGCAGAAACAACACGGACATCGAAAATTTCAACAAGGGTCCGTCCTACGGTGGAAATTTGTGTGATGAAGAAGGCGTGTGCGGGGGACGCTGCATGAATCAGACTTTTCTAGAAGTCTCATGGAGCAAATGTAAGGATAATGTAGTATTCGCTCACACCCATTTAAGTAAGATGTTGATTATTTTTACTTTAAAATATATTAATTTAGTCGGAGAATCCAAGGAGAGCCTGGATCAATTTCAAAATCAAAAAGGTGATAGGATGGAATTCAATCTGGAGATATACGCTAATAACAGCCTCAAGATGATATCTAGCATAGGAGCAGAAAAGGATTTCGATAATGGAACAGTTTACTGCATTCAAAGACAGAATGCCATTGTCAACCCAGAAACATGGAACATTAAAAATGGAGACGGAAACCTGAAGGATAAACATCTGCTTGTCTTCCATCTACTTCCACCAAAGGCTACAGTAAGGTACGACGAAAAATACAAGTTCAACACTGAAAAACTGCAACCACAACCAAAATGTCAACTCTTCATTCACTTTGTAATAAATTTAATGTTTTGAAAATTAAACTTTTTTATCTTTCAGAAAAGGCCAGCCTATGAATTCCTTGAGGTCGACCCTCGTACAACGACTACAAGCACAACTACAACAACACCCAAACCAACATCAGGTCCCAAACCACAACCTACTGTCAAAGCAACTTCAACTCCACCAGAGCAAAAGACTACACAGAAAGTTCAAGAAGCAACGGCCACCGAAGGAGGAAGTAAGGCCTGGATTTGGATCTTTGTGATTTTTGTGGTGATTGCTGTAATTGGTGGCGCTGTAGGGTTCTACTTCTACCGAAAAAATCAAAAGATAAAAGAAGAGGACGAGAAAGAGAGGTAATGGAGAAAGAGTGAAGTAAAATAACTAATATTTTCTATATTTTCAGAGCCTTTTGGGCCCACTTTGCAGACAAAAAGTGGATTGCTGAGGAAAACAAGAGCCGTTCTGAAGCAAAACTGCCTTCCTTGGAAGACGTATTCGTCAAGGATATTTTTGACAGGATGAAGAAGGAGGATGAGGACAATGCAGCAAAAAACGTAAGAATTCTCTTCAAAGGCTATCTGCCAGACTTGAAGAAGGACGGTTTCAAAATTGTTGGCACATACAGAGAATGGAAGAAAAAGGTGAATTTATAAAAATTTAAAATATATTGAAAAAAATTTTCAGAGTGACTGGGTCGCGCTAAAAGTCGAGTATGTGGAAGGCGATGATGTAGAAGAGGACGAAGTGGAAAAGGACGAATCTGCCGAAGGGAAGAAGAAAAAGGGCGGCAAGGGGAAGAAGGACAAGACCCCGAAGGACTCAGCTTCGAAGATGGAATCGACTCCAAAGGACCCGGCTCAGAAGGAGGAAACGACTTCGAAGGACTCGACTCTGAAGAAGGACCCGGCACCGGAGAAGGCGGACGCTACAAAGAGCAAGCAGGCAGGTACGACATCGGATGTTCCAACGGATATGGTGTCGGAGGCTAAAGAGACGGATCAGTAAATTGTAGAGATGAAGAAGGTTGCGGCTAGGACAAAAACTAGGAGATGAGAGAAGTTGAGAAGATTTCTGGAGATATATAGAGAATATAAATTGTAAATAATTTGTGTAAATCATTCATTCTCTATTTCCCAATCCCCAATATTCTTCAAATCTCTCAACAAATTGTATTTCTCTCTATATATGGCTCTCCAATCTATATATTTCCCACTATATTCCCTATAACATATATATTCACATATTAGGCTATATGCATTTCGTACATTAACACTAGAATGTTTAATATTTATTTAATCTCATTGAAATTTATTTAAGATTAGGTGGAAATAAAAACAGGCAATTTAATACTAATATAGGGAAAAAATCACATTTGTTTTAGAAAATAGAGTTTCAAGGGTAAATTAAAATGATAGATCATTAATGGATTACTAATAATGTGTAAATCAGAATAAGTTAAAAAACAAATAACCAAATTATACGTTGAAAAAGTTTAGGATACTCTATAATACAGCCGGTTTCCCTCATTAATAAAAATCTAATTATAAGATACCTCACCATAAGAGATACATCATTAATAAATATGGACGTTCATTAACTCTAGATACCTCTCAATTTAAGATACGCTTTTTAAACATTGTTTGGCTACTTGGCGCAACTCAACTTAAGATACCCCTTATTATAGGGTAGTTTTTCTACCCAAAAGAGGCATCTTATAGTCAGGTTCTATTGTAATACATATATTGTTTTTATTTTAGAGCCCCACCCTACAAAACCACTTACCCCAAACTCCAAAAATCTACAGCCTGATTATAAAGTTGTCCTTTAATTATTTCTGGTGCAATATAATCAGGGGTTCCACAAAAAGTTGAAGCCATTCCATTTTCTCTGTTTGCCTCTGTTTTGCACATTCCAAAATCTGCTAAATGGACATGTCCATCATTATCGAGGAGTATATTATCCAATTTTAAATCTCTGTAGATTATGTTTTTGGTATGTAAAAATTGTAATGCACAAATTATTTCACAGGTGTAGAAACGGGTTCGGTTTTCGTCGAATCGTTTAACCTTTAAAATTTTTTTTGATATTTTTAAAATAATTTGTAGGAAAGAATGCTCATTAAGGGATTCTTAAAAAAACCAGATTTCTTTAAGTTACCTATTCGATTAGTTCCCCTGGCAGAGTTTTTTTCAAGACAGCCCTAGAGCGGGGAATTAGGATTGGAATTATTTATGATAAAGCGGTCGAATATCGTTATAATGACTGAAAAATTGAGGCTGAAAATTCGTACTAAAGTGAAGGTATCGCTTGGGTATGTCATATCGTTCTTATGATCAACCACACATTTTAAAAAATGTTCAAAGAGTTGTATACAATAATTGGAGTGTATTATAACGAGATTCAATTGTAGAGGAATAACTAATATAAGCTCTATTAGAGGGTTGGATCGAGTTATACAAAACCTGATCAGAAAAGAAATATTGAAAATCCGACTCGAACCCCGAAACACTCATTTTCCCCCAACTCGTCCCAAGCCTGCCCTATTGGTTTAACAGTAACAAAAAATAACAAAATTTTTAACATTAAAAAATCTCCTCCCCTACCTGTTGTATATGATACATTAAATCACCACCATTTAAATATTGCATTACAAAAAAGAGGTATTCATTAGATTGAAAACAAGCAAAAAGTTTACACAAGAAAGGACATTCACCGGATAGAATTAGTACTTTTCTTTCGATAAAAGTGCACTAAAAATTAATTTTTTGAATAATTTTAAAGAATTTTCATTTAATTACCTCAGTATCATCATCTTCTAAAATTACATCTTTTTTTAAACATTTCATTGCAAAAAATTGACTGTGATTTTTTAATTCTACTAGTAGCACCTGAAAAATATTTTTTGAGGATTTTAAAGGATTTATCTAAATTTTTCAAAGAAAGAAATTAGAGAAACTAAGAAAGGTTCATCTACATATTATATATTTTAATAATCCACATTTGAAAATTTTAAATATTTTTAAAATGTTTTTTAAAATGATTCACGAACACAGAAATAATTTTTGCAAACTTAGCACAAAGGAAACCTTCCCAAGATCAACTTTATTTATAATCTCAAGATTAGAAGTTCTATAAAAATAGAGTTTCAGGTCTTAACGAGTTTTTAAGGTCAAACTCAAGTTTATAGTATAGTGAGGCATCCTGTACAGGATTCTACGAAAACTCCGTCCTGGAATCTTGAGTTTAAGCGACAAACGGATCCCGTTTGTTTATTTTTTAGCTTAATTCCGCGGTCGTCACGTTCTGTGTTTTAAAGTCAATCCAATTACGGGATCTAGGATTTGATATTTTTCCGTACCTTGGTTCCTCAACTTTAATGTTGCCTTTTTACTTTCTTCCAAAAAATCCCATATATCGCAATTAATAAAACAAACAATATTTAAAATCCTTTCCCCTACCTTTCCAAAACTTCCTTTTCCAAGCACTTTGTGAATATGGAAATTTGTTAGTTTATATTGACGAGGAGAATCTGCATTGCCACCTCCTAAAGGTTCAGATACTTCATTGCTTTTGTCAGCCACAGTATCGCCTCCAGAGACTTGGGCTCTGAATAAATTCTAAAAAAACAGAGGGGAAAAACATCTAAACTCTCCAATTTTTTAATCACCTTAAATTTATTCCCAACTCCATTAACCAATTGTTGGTCTTTATTAGCAAAAGAAGGGGGCGCTGTATTTGTTGTAGCACTCCTTTTAATTTCTATTAGGGCATCGGAAAGTTGTTTTTGATTTACACCGCAAAGGTTAGGCATATGTTTTTCACAACGGAAGTGACTTGAAAAAATTGAGAGTGGATTAGTTAATTATTTTGTAAAATTATTTCCAAGTAAAGAAAGCCCCAGATATGATCGATAAGACCTCAAATAAGACTAATCGGAAACCTCATGATAAGACTAATCGGAAACCTCAATGATTTTGGACGAGAATTTGTGAAAAATCCGTCCGGATCTAATCCAGAGCTACATGAAATTAATCTTTTTGGTTGATTGACGAAGGCAATGATATCAAAATTCAAGTTTCCCTCAAAGTCTTAACCCTCTTAACATAGGGTTCCGATCGAGAAATTGTTAAATGTAAGTAGAAAAAGTACAGTACTTCCAAAATATGTCAGATCAGAACCCTGAGTTTACATAATCATTTTTACGGATCTATTCTAAGATTTCAACTTATCGTGAAGCATATAAACTTTATCAAAAATATTTCAATTAATTTACCAATTAACGCCACAAACTTCACATTTCAAGCCTTGTCTAAAAAGCCCATAAAGAAGAGAGCCGCAATGATCACAAAATGTTAGACTTTTAAAATTATACCTTTAAAAGGTTGAGATTTTTTAATTAAAAAGAAATTATCGCTAACGGTTTGAAACGATGAGGGACATCAATTTTGAAACGTTCTTTAAGGTAAATTGTATCTTTTGTATTTTTAGCTGAGCCCGGGCATTGACTTAGAGTTTTTTCATGACATTTTTTGTGTACCGCTAAAAATAAAATTTTTAAAGGTTTTTGAAAACAATTTTATTTTAAAATGAACCCTTCTATTTCGTATATCGATATAAAAGATTTTTATGAGTCTCTTATATCGGGATTTTGTTGTATACAAAATAGAAGATAAAATAATATAGAGCCTTCATTATGCTAAGGTTATATATAAACACTTCTAGCGAGATAGACGCTAGGTGTTATACAGAGGTCTATAGGAATTCCGATTTCCGAAAATTTGAGCTTATTTCCGAGTTCCGACTTTTGAGCCATTTCCGATTTCTGACAAGTTCCGATTTCCTGCACATTTATCATTGCCAATCGACCTCTAGTTAGTTCCGATATTTTTTGTTCCAATTTCCGAAATTTTAGAAAACATAGAAAATTGAACTATATATGTACTAATACTAATTAGATAAAATTATTAAGCTTAGTTGTAATTTAGAAATAAACTTGCCTAGTGTGCAAAGTTGGCATTGATATCCTTGTTTATTTAACCCCCACATAAATTCTCCACAAATTGAACAAAAAGTAAATTGACGGAATGAGGTTGTAACAAATTCGTGGCCTCTGATTTCTTTAAATTTTAAAAAATTTTTGACCAAAATTTATCCCCTAACCATGTATTTTTGCATGTTTTATAGCCCCTCTGCGTCTATAAATTCCATCACCAAATCCTTTTGGGGTAGCCATTTGAGAAGCACCACTTTCTTCTGATAGTTGATCTTGGGAGCCATTGCCGATTTTTAAGGTTTGGGCCAGAATACGTCCACAAGGTTTTAGACTGGAAATTAATATTAATTTAAAAATTATTTGATTGGAAGAATAAGTGTCATAAATAATGTCAATAATTAAAGTAAAAATGATGCAAAAATTGCGTAAATAAATACCAAAACTGAAATGCCAGATTTTGTTCTCAAATAACTCCAATAAAATTTTATATCAACTTTTTGGAGTCAAATGTTTCTAGTTTTTGGGATTCAGGAAAGTACATATTCTGCTAAAATTCCTACATCAGAGCTGTCCGCGATTTAAAAAATTTTATACAGCCGAAACCCACAAATATAAAACGAATTATCCGGCTGAAGAAAGCTCTGTCTCACACCCACAAAAAATTTCAAAATTAGCTTCGAAGCTTTACTCTAATAATTCTAAAAAGTCTTCCAAGTTTAATTAACTCACTTTATCCAAATATGAGTAACTGCATCAGTTTTACTTTTACAAACAATATCCTGAAAATTGTTCGAACATAAAAAATATTTTTGTAAAAGAAAGTCTACTTCAAGCCTCATAGTTGCATCAGCAACAAGTGTTTTATCGTTTTGAACAAGCATTTGAAGTACCCGATTTTGTAGAATGCCAACATCAAAACACTTTTCCCATTGTAGCTGCATTGTTTTTCTTTTTTGGATTAAACGGTTTTCACCTGGAAAAAATTAAAAGACTTTTTCTGAGTAAAATCCGGAAGAGTAGGGGTGTGCTTGGGAACCTTAAAGAATGTTTTTTAAATAGCGGAGGAAGACCGGAGGTAGGGTCTGTCTTATAGGGTCTGAGGAGGATATCCTTGTTTTATCTCCAAACTAAGGGAAAACATTGTTGGTTTTACAGATCCTCGTTAACTAAATTTTCCCGAAAAACTCAAAAACTCTCACCATTAATCTCCACCTTTTCTTTAACATTAACTGCACAGCTGAGGTCACTCAACTGGCAATTTTGAGGTAGTTGATCCTCCGGCATTTCCACCCTAAGTAGTTTTAATCTAACAACAGCTACATCTGGGGTAGGTGTAGAAATTTCTTTCAAATTTGAAGAGGGGGAAGAAGCACAAGAAGGCGAGGAAGACAAAGCAGCTGTAGAGGCAGCTGGGGAAGATAACATCATTGGTTTATGGGTTCCGTTGTTTATGCCGTTTAATATGCCGTTTATTGAGCCGTTTGGTGATTGCTACAAATTATATTCCATTTTAATTTCTCTCTACTAATGAACATTATAGATCACCCAACACCCTTCCTATAAATAAATCCCCAACATACCCCAGGGTCTTTATTAAGCCTAAATAGAGTATAATTTTTTATAAATTCAGAGAAATATTTTAAATATCAGTTAAATAAAAATATATTCACTAAACATCCATTTAAATAAACGGTGAAATCATAAAGACTAGGGTTGTGTTTCACAAGATTCTCGGCCAACAGAAATCAAACCGACAAACCGAACCGAAAATCTTAGGGTTTCGGTTCGGTTTGAAACCAACATCCCTAATAAGGACAAATGATCATCCCAAACACAAAAATGTCAGAAATCAAGATAAAGAATTTCAATTTTCATATCCAACTAGATTAACGTAATTTTTAAATTTAAGTGGAAACTAAGAAGGGAGGCTGTTTAAGAGATACCCTCAGTTTAGGATACCCTTCATTAAAGTGACAAATTTTCTACTCTTATAATATTTTTAAAAGTGAGGTTAACCCTACTTTAGGCGTTGATTGACCAGATTCGTTGTCTTGAAATTCAGTCTCCAACAAATCCTCCAAAGGAAAAAGATCGTAAATCTGAAAAATAAATTAAATTTAAAATTTAATTGTTTAATAATTACCTAAATAAAAAACATAAAAATTAAAATAAAGAAAATGTCATTTTGTTGTCTATTTAATTTTAAAATAATTTAAAATAAATCGAAATTATTGAGATATTGTATTTTCAACAAATCTACGCAAAATTAATAGAACAAATTTTTAAAAGTTCAAATTAAAAAAGTAAATATTGAAGAGAATTAATAAATTTAGGTAATTAATAAATTATGGAATTTATGTTATTTAATTAACAATAGGGGAAGATTGAAGAATATTGTTAGAAAATAGGGAAAGAAAAATATTTTAGAGAACCTGTTTTTAAAAATAAAAACAAAATTAGGTAATTTCCATTATTTACGTAAAATGTATTTTAACATTCCAAAATAATACTTTAACAAATTTGCCCTAAATAAAAGGGTTGTGCGCGAAAATAAGTGCTAAAGCACTCAAAAGTTGTTTATAAAAAATGAAAAACAAAATTTATTTTTTAGAGAAAATAAAAATTGTCAAGTTGGAAATTTGTAAATTTGAGGAAATTTATGTGTTTTGTAGAGGTAACTTAATAAAGGATTTGTTGAGAGGCAGGGAATTTAGACTTATTTTTAAAATTTCCGGTCCTTGTATAAATCTGTCTCTCCAAAATTTTCCCTAAAGTCCTGCCCTCGGTCAGTTTCCATATCTAGAGAGGAAAATTTTTTAAATTAAATTAGAGCTATAATATAAATTAAATTAATTTTTTTTAAATAAAATAGCACTGAAAAATATTTTTTGAGATGAGCACAAAAATATTGAAATTTGATCAAAATAAAGAATTCAAGGGTTATCGTTTGTTTGATTTTATTTAGATTTTAAATTTCAAGAATTTAAAAAAGAAAAGTGAAAATTGTGAATATTTAAAGAGTGAATAAATTTATTTTTTCTTCTTCAAACTTTTAATCTTTCTAAGCTTCTTGGTTTTTAAGTCTTATTTAAATAAAAAATAAAAATATTTATTTTTATTGCCAAAAATAAAAAAAATTTTGTAGTTTTGTCTTTATTTTTGTTTGTTAAAAGAAAATATATTTTTTTAAAATATTGGAGAGTCTTGTGACGAAAACAGAAAAAATAAAAAGATTAAAATATAGGTGGACTGTGACGTTACTTTTGGAGAGAGAGAGGGTCGTCAAAAACATTAGCTCTTATAACTCTGCCAAAAGATAACCTAAATTTATGAAATTTTCTATGGATATAGGAGGGATTGTTATTTAAATAATCAGAAAATTTCAAAATTTTTGGTTTAGTAAAAATTAAGTTATGGGCGAAGATGTGTCGTTTACACTTAAAAATGACCACTTTTCGTTAGTATTTTGGCCATAACTATAAAAATACGGAACCAAAAATTTTGAAATTTATAGAAAATTTAGTTAACACTATCAAGAATATTTATTCAAAATTTCATAACTCTAGGTCCTTGGGAACAAGAAAATTTATAAGCGCGCGCAAAAAAAGTTGCGCATTGTGACGCTCAAAATAAAGATAAAGACGAGACAAAATAATAATAAGAAAATTGAAAAGGGCAATTAAAAAAAAGTTTTTTTTATTTTAAATCACCCAAATCATTTGATTTAATGGGAAAAATAAATTTTTTAAATAAAAAATAATTAAATGTCTGGTAAAATAAAAAAATAATTTATGCTCCAAAAATTTTTTTAAATTAAATTAGGGACACAAAATAAATAAAATAATAAAAAATAAAAATAAATTTGTACTTTTAAAGATTTAAAAAAATAAAAGTTAATTTAAGATTGAATAATGAAATTAACTTTCTTTTTCTATAAATTAGACAGTCTCATTAAATCCAAGACAAAAGGAAGGATTAATTAGAGCAAGTTAGAAATTCGACTTAGGAGCATCTTAAATCAGGGGCATTCAGTTTTCAATTTTTTGACCAAATAGCAACTTTATTAAATAAATTATCCTCTTTTTCAATTTCCTGTTTAAAATTTTACAAAAATCATCGTTTAATTCTACCTATTAAAAATCGCAAAAAATATTCCCCGGACTTGAACTAGTCTACTAAAAACAATTAAATCTAACTGCAAAAGGAGGAAAGGAAAATATAAGTCAGAAATTCGACTTAAGAGCAGCTATTCAAAAAAGATTTTCGACTTTCCCGAACTTCTTATAAAAGGTGGAGTACTAAATTTTGATAAGAGCTTCAAACCACGATCTTTATGAGATTATGGAACTAAAAATGCCTCTTAACTAGTAAACTTTTTAATGAGTAAAAAAAAGAAAATTTTTAAGTAAAAAAGTCTATTAATTAGTCTAGCACAATAAAAAAAAAGACTTTTTTAAAGAATTTTCTCAAGTAAAAAAAATATTAGAATTATTGATGCATAAATATTCAATAATTAATGTGAGAAGATTTTAGAGCTGTGGAAATGTGTGGTGGGTTACAGCGAGGATTGATAAAATAGGAAAATGAAGACGTTAAATCATGAAATTTTGCAGAGATGTCCTCAATAGAGTTATCTAACTCCACTGAAAATTTCAGAATTTTTGAATCAGAATTTCAAAGGTTATGGTCAAAAGAATCAGAATTTTGGGCAAAATAGTCGACTTTTTGTTGTTATTTTTTCCATAACTTTTGAAATTCTTAACCAAAAATTCCGAAATTTTAAAGAGTGTTAGATGACACTATTAGAAAGGTCCTTACAAAATTTCAAGGTTTTAGGTACACAACAATAGGCATTTTTATAAAAACGCGCAAAAATGGACACACTAAGCAGTAAAATATAAAATTATTTTAAATAAATAAAAGCTTAATATATATATTTTTAATTAATTAATGAATAAAATAGTCAAGAAAAAATATTGAAAAATTGGAAAATTGGTTTAAATGAAAGGAACAATTTTTAAAAATATTTTTTGCTTATCAAAATCAATTTATGTTTTAAAAGCAATTTTAGTAAATAATTAAAAGTTGGGGGAGGAAAAAAATTTTTATTCTAAATTTGGTGTTTAATTGGTGAAAAATGCATCTGTCAAAGGTAATTAATTTGTTTAAAAAAGTAGAGATAAGCAAAAAAAGTAAAGGTGTTTAAAACAAATGCAACTTGAAGCTTGGTAAATTTAAAGAAAATATGCGCTTTTGAAAATATATTTTTTGTCGATTTGGGTGATTTAAAATTTTTTTAAGAAGGTTTTCAAGCCTTTAGACTATTTTTTACCAAATAATTAGTCAAACCCTCAATTTCAGATAAAATCAAATCCCGACAGAACCAATTCGAACGACCTAAGAAAAAGTAAGCTATATCAAGAGCTTCATTAAATCGAGGGGTCATTACATCGAGGCTCGATTATACCTCCTTTGGGCAGAGAAATCGTACCTTATAATGAGGGCTATTTTAAATAAAGAGTCTTGTTTAAGGAGCTTCTCTCGTCCAGTGACCAACAAATTTTAGAAAAGATAACCATTAAATTAACTTAGAAAAATTTGAGATTGCAATTTTCATAAAAGAAAAATCAGAAAAAAATTCAAAAAAAATTCAGAAAATTTTAAAAAATTAGAAAAGGCTGGCTAGACGTATAACAAAAAGAAAGATAAAAAAAGGTCTTTTTTCTTTCTTTAATTTAAATCCATGGATGGATTCATTGAAGCGATATTTGTGCTTATTTTACTGCAAAAAGGAAAGAAAAAGCCTCTTTTCTAAAGGAAATTGTTTGTGAATATATACGACAATTTAACTAAAAAGCTAGGCAAAAAAGTCATTTTTTCGATAAAGCCAAGAAGCCGAGGGAATTCCCTAAAGGGAATTATTTTCTCCTAAACAAGTGATAGTCACTTTATTTTTCTTTTAAATTTTCCTTCCTCTATAATTTACTTTTTTCTTTGTTTTTTCTTTAAAATATTGAAAATTAAATTTAAATAATGAGAAGAAGAAAAGTATAGAGAACGAGTGATAATAGACTTACAAAATAAAAAAACACTGATTAACAAAAAATAATAAAAAGAACAATAATGCTTATCGCTTAGAAAAGGAAATTTAAAAGGCTTGTGGATTATGAAGACAATATAAAAATATTTGTTAATAAAATAAGAATGAAATTATAATAAACAGTTTAGATTTAATTAAGTAACAGAAAATTGTAAATTACCTTCAGAATTATAGTTACAATTGTTTGTGTGGGTCGGAAATGAGAATGTGCCGGAAATCGGAACTATCGGAAATCGGAAATGGCTCAAAAGCCGGAACTTTGAAATCAGCCTAAATTTTTGGAAATCGGAAATCGGAATTCCAACCCGCATCTGATATTTACCATTTAGAGTTTCGCCTTTCGTGTTTCGCTTTTTAAAATCTGCTTTGGCACCCACTGGTACGTACCAGGGCTGGAGAATTTCGAATTTTAAAAAGCGGAAGGCGGAAGCGGAAGAAAGCGGAACAAAATAAAAAAGCGGCAGACGGAAGGCGGAAGCGGAAGGGCCAAAAAAGGCGGAATTCTGCGGAAGGCGGAAGCGGAAGAAAAATAAAAAAATTTTATTCGTAATAAAAATTAGAAATTTTCATATATGTTTCCCTACATTTCATATATGTTTCCCTACATTTATGAATATGTTTCCCTAAATTTCAGTGTGTAGTAAAATCTTAAAAGTGATCAAGAACAGGTTGGCAAATCGTTAACTGAAAACTTTATTTATGACAAAACTTTAGGAATCCCATGATATCCGTCCAAAACACTAACATCGATAAAGAGGGATTTCAGTGGATTAATCTTAATCCATGTAAATCCTTCGTTATACGGCAATGCTTTTTAGTCTTCCCGCACCGCGGACGAAAATTTTGAAAATTTAGGAAGACCAACCCACTAGATTTCTTCCTTTTCAAGTGACGCAGGTGAAAATTTTGGAAAACAAGACACCAATTTTCTTCCTTTTTCAGCGCCGCAGGCTAAAATTTTGAGAATTTTGGAAGACAAGTCACCAAATTTCTTCCATTTTTAACGTCGGACTAAAAGTAAATTTCTTCAAAAATAATGTCGGCATTAGGGGTGTATTTTTGCGGAAGGGGGCGAAAAAGCGCAAAAAGCGGAAGCGGAAGACGGAAGGCGGAAGGGTCAAAAAAAGCGGAATTCTGCGGAAGGCGGAACGCGGAAGCGGAAGCGGATCCAGCCCTGGTACGTACCCAGAAAAAATTCTTGCGGTGGAAAGAATTCTTTTTTAAAATCATCAACTTTATATGTATAATAAATTACCCCAATTTGCCTTCATTTTTTAAATTTAAAATTGTGTGAATAACAACTTTTAATCTTTCCAAAAACAATTTATTTAGATAAAAAACAGGGAAATAATTTTCTATTTAATTTTATTTCCCCCCAAAAAGTCTTAGAAACAACACAAATACTCTCAATATTTTCTTTAAATTCATATAAAAATCCCTTCATTTGACTAAGCAATATTAAAGAAGATGACTCGTGTTCGCAATATTTTTTAGCGGATTATAGAAACATTTTCGCTGTCAGATAAATTTTTAAATAAAATTATATATAAAAATATTTCCTGTCTGACAAAAAATAAAATTAAAGCTAAAGGTTGAATCTAGTTCCGAAATTTATTTAAAAAAAGAGTCGGAAAGAAGGGTTAGATTTGAAATTAGTTCAACAGGAGAAAGAAAATTCGCTACATGGATGACGGGGTGGATGGAGAGTTTGTGGTTGATTATGTAGTTAAGAGACAACTCATTTAGGGAAGACTATTAATCTTTTAGATCTGTACCAGAGGCCGATCGGAAATGGCAAAGGTACCGGAAATCGGAACTCTCGGAAATCAGCCTAAATTTTCGGAAATCGGAATTCTGATCGACCGACGTTCTGTAAATGTTAAAAAATAAGCACATATTTCAAAGAAAAAAGAACAAAAATTAAAATAAAATAAAAAATATAATCGCTTTAAAATTATGGCTAGAAAAAGCATTGAATAAATATTTTTGTTAGAAAAATAAAAAGAGAAACAAAAGGGGGAAGCTATAATAAATAAAAATAAAAACGGGAATTGGCGGCTGGCAACAGACGCGCGTTTATTTATTTTTTTAGCAGTCATTCATGAAAATAAAAGATAAGAGGAGAATAAGGGGGGAGAAAAGAGGAGTGCGTGAGAGTAAAAGAAAATATTATTTTGAGCGAGAAAGGATAAGTATAAGTGGCCATCGAAAACTAGTATATAGAAAATTCTGAAAATTAATATTTTAAAAATTTATTTATGAAAAAAAAATTTTATTTTGGACATTCTAATAGATTTCTTAGGGGAGAGGGTCATTACGGCGCAGTCTGATAAAGTCTGGCTTTTCAGCCATAATTTTAAAATGGAAGTTGGTCGAAAACCTTCATTTTAAAGATTGTAGTTGAACAACCGTTAAAACTCGAATCTCGATATAACTTATACAAAGGTCCAACGGTAATATAAAAGATAAGAGGATTATGTAAGGATATTCTTACAAGTGAACAAGAACAACAACAATCAGAAACGAATCCTAAATCTTTATTTGGAGACCCTTTCTCTGCTAGCAAAAAACATCAAAATTCCTCTTTTAATGATCAATCATATTTTGCCAACATATTAAACAACGCTATTCTTGATGCTGACGAAATTAAATCTAAATCTAAAAGAGTGGTTATTGAACGTGCTCCAGACAACACAGACATCATTAATATAGCTAAAAAAATTGCAGCTGATTGTGGAGTGGCAGAAGATTTGTTGGAAAACGAAATTCATCGTCATCCACGTGAGTCTAAAGATGTTATAAATAAAAAACCAAGAATCGTTAAAATTCCATTCACCAACAAAAAATCTAGGGATAACTTTTTATACAATTTTCGTAAATGTCTTAAGAAAAATCCAGCTTTTCCGCAGTTCATAACTGCAAGACGTGATATGACTCGTAATGAACTAAATATATTGTATAACTTGCGAAAGCAAGCATTTTCTATGAATCAGGCCGAGAACATGTTTAAGTACATAGTTGTCGACCTGTCAATAATTACACTCAAAAATCCACAACCGCTCAGGGCAACCAAAAATAAATAGGGACACGCAGGCAAACCGCAGACAAAAGTAAATAACGGAAATTTTCAATCATATAAATGTTTGTTATTTAATTCTAGATCCCTAGCTAATAAAATACCGGATTTAAATCAATTAATCGAAAATTCTAATCCACAAATTATATTAATCAATGAAACATGGCTCACAACAGAAAATACAATAAACTCCGAACTATCACATAGGGGCAATTATGAGATTATATTAGCTAATAGAATAGGAAAAAGAGGTGGAGGATCGGCAATTTTATTAAAAAATGACATACCATTTAAAATAATTTTTAATGGCTCTAAATTCCAATCAGAGATAATACATATAAAATTATTTCTCAAAAAAGAAATTAACATTATAAACATTTACCGCCCACCAAATAGTTCAATTATTAATACAAAAAAATTATTTAAGTTTCTTTTAAATCTAACTGATCAAAAAACAATATTATGCGGAGATTTTAATATTAGACACATAAATTGGGATTCTAAAGAATTAACCGACAACTATGACAAGATCGCGAATATGTTTTTAGAGTTTATAGGTCAAAATCAATTAAATCAACTTGTTACTGAACCTACTAGAGAAAATTCAATCCTGGACCTGGTACTCACACCTGCTTCCAATTTAGTCAGAAATGTTTATGTTAGGGAGAATTTTTCAACTTCCGATCACAAAATGATAGAGTTTGAGTTATATGATCAGATCAAAGTCTTTAGAAAACCAAAAATTTATGTCAGAGATATAAGTAAATCCAATTTTAATAAATTGAATCAAGTTATTTTTAAGAATAATTTAGATCTAGGTATATTAACTAAGTTCACTGTAGAAGATAAATATGATTTTCTGACGAAAGAATTGTTATATCTTTATAACAAATATATACCAATGAGAACTTTGAATAAGATAATAAGGAAAACATACCCTAAACGGATTAAGGAATTACACAAAGAAAAACTTAGATTATTCAGAGTCCTTAAAGAAAGAAAACATGATCACGAGTTGAAACTTGAGTATAAAATCGTTTCAAGAAACTTGAAAAAACAATTAAAAATTCACCATAATACTAAGGAAGAAAAAATAATAAATAAAGGTGGAAATTCGATACATAAGTTTATTAGAAACAGACTTACCCAAGATAATAACATACCCTGTTTAATTGATAAAGAAAATAAATTTTACTTTAGTAATGAAGAAAAATGTAATGTTTTAGGAAAAGAATTTCAAAAAAACTTCCAAAATAAAAATATTAATCTATCGAATTATAACAGAAATATAATTCCGAAAACAAAATTTTTAGACATAGATTTAAGTACTAGCACTGTGTGGGATGTCCTCAGATCACTTCCTAATCGTAATTCAACTTCTCCAGATAACATTCCTTATATATTATTAAAATATTGCGCTGACACACTTACAAAGCTAATCACAGATATCTTTAGATGTATTATTGATAATGGGCAAATTCCATCAATTTGGAAATCATCATTTATTATTCCATTGTATAAAAAGGGAGAAAAATCAGATCCAAAAAATTATCGTCCAATATCGCTAACATGCACCTTATGTAGGGTTCTTGAAAGAATTATTGCACAGCAATTAACAAAATTCTTAGAAGATAATAAGTTCTTTAATAAAAATCAATTTGGATTTCTTAAATCAAGATCCACAACCACACAGTTATTATCTACCATGGATGATTTCTATAATGCAATACAAGATGGATATAGCATAGATATTATTTATATAGACTTTGCTAAGGCATTTGACACTGTACCAATAAATATTCTTTTAGATAAATTAGAAAAGGCAGGCATAAGTGGAAAAGTTTATACTTTTCTTAAAAACTTCATATCGGATAGGAATTTCAAGATTAAGATAGGTGACCAATTATCCCAAAACTATGAAACATTATCGGGTGTACCTCAAGGAAGTGTCTTAGGGCCACTTTTATTCCTTATTTTTATAAATGATCTTCCTAATGAAATCCCTGAAAATGTTGGAGTAAAACTATATGCAGACGATGTAAAATTATATATAGCTCATAAAAACGGCATAGAAAGAGATCAACTTAATAAAGCTTTATTTAAACTTGAAAAATGGACAGAAGATAATGGTTTAGAAATATCCCCAAATAAATGCTATGTTTTATATTTAGGTAAAAATAACATGAAAAAAGAGTATAGCATTCATGGATTAAAAGTACAAGAAACAGAATGTATTCGTGATCTTGGAGTATTAATTGATTCAAAAATATCATTTAATAACCATATAAATATGATTATAAAAAACGCATATCTAAAGAGCTTCCAAATAATAAGAATAATTAAATCTAGAGATTTAAATCTCCTCGTTAATATATATAAAACATATATAAGATCCCAACTAGAATATGCAACTGAAGTATGGAATCCACAAATGAAATATCAAATAGATAAAATCGAAAAAATCCAAAAACTATTCACTAAAAATATTTACAAAAAATGCGGCTTAGTTAAGGTCCCATATGAAGAAAGATTAATTACCTGTAAACTCGAAAAGTTAATAGATAGAAGAAAGGTTGCCGATCTATCCACCGCCTTTAAAATTATAAAAGGCTTTACATCTCTTAATTCCCAAAAATATTTTAATTTATCAAATAGATCTCTTCGCAGGCCTCTACTTCTTAGGACAAAAAAATATATAAATAGAACAAAAAATAATTTTTTTCACAGAGTAGTAAATAACTGGAATAATCTTCCAAATGAGTCATTTAAATTAACTGATCCGAAAAAATTTAGAAGTTTTATTAAACAGTATTTTAATGATAAAGTAAAATACTAAAGACATAAAACCCTAGCGTGTGTGTTTTTTAGAGTGTTTTTTTACTATTTTCTTATACATATTTTTTTAATTTTTTTTTAAATTTATTCATGTTTTTGTTTGCTGTTTTTTCACATATTTTTTCAATTTGTATATTTTTTTATGCACCACTTTAATGTATTTTAAAATACCTGTGGTTTGCTGATAAATAAATAAAACAAAATTTTAGATGGGGGGGGGGGGGGGGGGGGAATGGGTTAAAACGAGAGGCGATTTTATTCTGAAATATTATATATTCAATTTCATTCATAAGTAATAAATAAATAGATGGCCCTTTTTGTTTGTCAAAAAATTATTTTTATGTAAATGAAAGCTAATTTTACATCATCGGAAACAAAAATAAGATAAGTTATCCAATAAAATATTTATGAAAAAAATAATATTAAAAAGAAAAAAAGAGGGGGAATTGGACTTAAGGGCGTTAAGGCGTGGCTGTAAAAAATTGTCAAATATGAACCTAATCAAATATAATTTTCACCAGTTAGCCTCAATAGTGCTACCTAACTTGACAAAAAATTTCAGAATTTTTGATCCAGAATTATATAGAATATGGTCAAAAATGGTCTATTTACCCTTGAAAAATACGATATTTTTTAGTTTTCCTCACATAACTTTTGGAATTTTTAACAAAAAATTTTGAAATTCTACAGGAAGAGAGCTAAAAGTATGGGGAATATTCATGGAAAAAATCATCATTAAATATAATCCCCTCAGGCATTTTTATACTTCCGCGCCAAAACATTTCCGCGCCGAAATTTCTAATAAAGAGTTAAAGGAAGAATTTAAAAAGAGGAAAAAAGTTAACAATCAACGAACAATGTGTTTTACTTAATCTTTAAATTTTTAACTTAAAATTAGCTTTTTTTGTCTTTAAAATAATATTCCCTCAATAAAAGGAAGAAAATAAAATTTAAAAAATAAATTGAATAAATTGGCCCAATTGTCTTATTTTCTCTTCTCTTTCCCTCTGTTGCCTTTCCCCCCTTTATATTAAAAACTTGTTTGTTCATTTACGCGTGGCAGACTATACACAAAATTAAAGGAAATTGAAGAAAATTTGTTTTAAAATTTTTTGTCAAAATGTAAAATCGTCAAAACACATACATACAAACGGGATAAGCGAAATTTTGTTTCGTGAGGTCTCGACTCTATTTAATTTATTTTACGCGGTCTTGTAGGGGTGGAAAAAAACATTGTAGGGGTGAAAAACCAGCTTGGAAAAAACATAATTTGTGAAGTTTGCTTAGGCAAAAAAATCAAAAATATTCAAGAAAAAAATTCAGGAAAATTGTGACACCTCCTCGAGTAGGGAAGCAATCGGGTCCAAATTTGCTTGTAATCCCGAGGCAGCAAGATATTGTGACTTACGCACTACTATCAGAAAAATACAAAATTCTTAGCACTTCCCCTCCACATTTAAGCTTTTTTTGGTTGATCTAATTAAACCCAGAAGAAAAAAGGAATTTTCTTCAAGTTCCCTTAATTTCTCTTATTTGCCACAAAATGAAATTTCGCCAGCCTACAAAATAAAAATAATTTTTTGAAAAAATGTGTGCTAACATTTAAAGAGGGAAAATATAAAGGAAACAAAAACTTTAAAGAAAAACTTTTTTTTTATTATTTTTATTTCTTTTTATTTTTTATTCCCTCCCAAGGGTAAAACAACCAAAAGCCAAATAATTTTTTTTATTATTTTGGCAAGAATGGTCTTTGACTTTTATGCATTTAAAAAATAAAAAAAAGCTTGGAAGGGTTTGCTTTTATTTTTTAATGAATATTTTAATAGAATCTTTATCATATCCCTCCCTTTTCTAAATTTATACCAAATTGGATTAAAATTAAAATACCCCCCCCCCAAACACTCTCCCAATCTTCAAGCTTAACACTTTTTAGACACTCCCCTGCTACATGCTAGATGAGATAATTTAGAAAGTCTGGAAGTTCTGACTTGTTATCTTTTAATTTAAGTCTTTCACTTGACCATAAATTTTTATTTTATCTAAAGCTTTCAGATATGCCGATCAGGTGGGATAAGTCAGAGGGTGGGGTAAATTGGGGATTTTAGAAAGTATACTGAGGATTCTAGAAAGGGATTTTAGGAAGCTGACTTATCCCCAATTATACCAGGTGCTTTTATTTTTCAAATGGATTCCTATTAAACTTAAATTACCAAATATCCCGCGAGAAATAACCAAAGTGATATATAATTAGAAAAAAGAAAGTAAAAATTTAAAGGTTATTTAATGAAAATTTAAATTAAAAATGTACACTTAAATTTAATAAAATAAAATTTTAAAAATTTAAAAGAGGAAGAAAAATTTTTATAAAAGAACAAACAAAGATTTATTATAAAAATTTTTTATTTTAATTTTTCTTTCTCATTTTTCTTGTCTAAAAAAGTTTTTTAGCAAAAAAATATTCGATTTTAAAGTAAAAAAAATTAAAAATGTTGTGACGTCATTCTATTCTCGAGAGAATAAAAAGAGAAAAATAAAGCAATATAAATGAATGAAATGGGATAAAAATAGAAGAATGAAGAAGAAGAAAAGTGAAGAGGGGAAGTGTTAAATCTTTGAAATTTTTAAACAAAGAAGGAAGGTTTTCAATGAAATAAAATTAGGGGGGGGGGGTGGTAGATAGATCAGGGCTGTATGCAAGCGAAAAAAATTTTCGCAGATGCAATCCGCAAGTCAAAAAACCACGCAATTTACGCAATCCGCAGTCCGCGGACAGCCTTGAAGTAGATCCCCGATCCACCGTGATCCACCCACAGTCGCAGGACTGTGTATAGCTTCGGCCAAAACCCTCTCGAGTAATAATGCCCTCGTTTGGATCGAGGCAACTCGACGAGCTGAATCGAACAGTTTGAGTGTGTATGGGCTTCGAATTGTTTAAACAGAGGTTGCGACGGAATGGACACGTGCAGGAAATTCGAGATGATCTCCTCCTGATGAAATTCGAGAAAGACATCCTTGAACAAAAATTTTTTTGTATTTTGAACTGTACATTTTTTGTTTATTTCTTAGTTGAAAATATAAAAAGGAGAAAGTTAAGCGATTATAATTATTTGGGCGCAGTTAAGATGTTCATTTATCTACTATTTTATAAGCATTCACCCATTGCAACCCACGCCGAAACAAGCCAGCGCCCAGAAAATTTTTTTTTATTTTTTGGTTTTAAATATTTGATATTGCGTGAAAAAGGGGAACGAAATGTGTGTTTATATAAAATTGATAGAAAGACTGCCGCAAAGGATTATAAAATAAAAAATTTTTTTCTCGATGGAATGAACAAACAAATAAATCAAGAAAAAGAAGGGAGTTGGATTTTTAAACTTAATTTATTAAACTTTAAATTAAAATAAATTTAAAGGTTATATTTAAAGTAGAATACGGTCAAACCTCGCCAAAATCTTTTTTGAACCTGAATGTATCTTATAATGATGTGTATCTTAAATAGAGGGGGGTATCGCTTTGACAGCTCTCCCCAACTAGTGAGTGGCCAACAGAGTTTTTAACAAACTTATAGTAAATCGAGGGGAGCCAGACATATCGGGATGGTCATATCAGGTCCTTCCAACCCTTCCAAATCGAGGTGTAACTAGTATTTTATACAAATTTTATACAAACTTCCGGAAGGAAATAAAAAAGATTATTAAAATAAATTGGTCATTAATGCATCAATTTATCGATATCATGCAGTTTAAAAGGTAGAAGCACGTCAATGAGCTATTATTAATTTTCTTCTTTTTTTTCTGTCCGGAAGTTTATGACTAAACCGATTTAGATTGATTTTAATCTTTCTTGATAATTAAATAAAAATGTTTTTTGACATTTCCCAACCCACGAAATAGGTAAGTGATACTTTCTCAGTTCTGGCATTGATTCACGGAAACGGAGAAATGCCAAAATCTGGGAACTGCAAGGAAGGGAACGCGGGACCGTTGGACCTTTTGGATTGAGAAATTAGTGGCCAAGACACTCTCTATTGTGTCTACAGTCTTAAGTTTTTTTTCAATGGGTGGGGAGAGCTGCTTAAGCGATACTTCCAATTTTGCGTACAATCAAGATCCGTCTATTACTATTTATTTGTTCCCATTTATTTACTCATAAAAATTGGGTAATTGAAAAATATTAGGGGAAAATATGATTTTGAAGGACTCAAGGTTTTGATTGATCACTTCTCTTCTATCATTAAAATTAAAAAGAAGAGGAACACTTTCCCGAGTCTTTTTTACACTCGAGAAGAAAAAAGAGAAAAGAATTTTTACCCCAAATAATTTAAAGATGAAAAAATAAAAATAAAATTCTTGTTTTTGTAAAAGAAAAATTTTTTGATAGACAAATTTGTGGCTAATAAAAAAAATAAAAATAAGAAAATTATAGCAAATAAAATTAAAAAAAAATAGAGAAAGAATGGAGGCAATAATAAATTTTAGATTGAAAATAGTTAAGAAGATTGTTGATTGATTTATTAGTTAAAAAATTTTTTTTGATTTTTTGGTGTCTGTAATGTTAAAAAATTCATTGGATTGAAGGGGGACAACCATAATCTTAAAGAAAAGAATTATGAAAGGAAAAGAAACTTAGTTACCCATAAAAATACGATTGTGTTTTTAAACATACTTTTACAGATAAAAATGAGGTACTTTTTACTTTAAAGGTGGTTTGTTTTAAGACGGGAAATAAAAATTAAAAAATCAAGGAAAGTAAAGATTGGGTGATCGGAGTGTTTAAAAACTTGATCTCGATCCTTGATCTTCAAGGAAATATCAAAATAAAGTCAAAAAATTGTAAAGATGCCTTGAGCCTGTCAAGGAAAAATGAAGTGCTGGGGACAAATCAAGGCTGAACTCTATGGAGCCCTAATGAATGTGCCACTATCCTAAACCCTATAATGGGTCCTATATAAAAATTCTGGAATTGTTAGAGAAGTTTAATAGAATTGGTAATGGACATGGATTTTGGTATCCGTATCCGGATATTTAGGGCGGATATCCTCAGGCATCTTGAAATTATCTGTATCCGTATCCATTAACAAGTCTGATTTAAAAAAGTTTTATGACGTATTTTTAATCACGGAAGCCTTAAAAAATAATAATTAAAGTCTTTTTAAATAATATTTTTAAGAAGGAATTAATAAAAAAAAGGTGAGAATGAGTCAATAAAATGAATGAGTCGATAAGACAAAACAAAAATATTTTTATATTTTAAAAAAGAATTTTTGAATTGGAAAAAAATTATTTGGGTGAATGAATAATTTGATTATTTATTGTGAGGGTGTTTGAAAAATCATGAAAGAAAGAAACAATTTTGTTAAAAATTTTTAGAGAATTTCAAAAAAATTTTTGATTTAAATGACATTTTCTCTTTTCGGCTCCATGACAATTGTACAGTGGGACAATTGTACAGTGAGACAATTATACAGAAGACAATTGTACAGTGGACAATTGTACAGTATTAAATGCTTTTTAAAAAAATTTAATGTTAACCCAAAATATCGAAAACATATGATCAACACTAGATTTTTTAAACTTTATTTCACAACATGGGAAGGTTGTTCCAGTGACGAAACAGACTTCAATTCGTTGAATTGATCAACGAAGTAGGTGATTAATCGTGGGAGTGATCAACCAAGAGTGATCAATCAGTTGAGTGATCAACCTGGAGGTGAAAATCGGAAAAGGTTGAGAAATATCGATATCGAAAACCGAGTGAATCAACCGGAAGAGTGATCAAACGAGAGCGATAAACGACACTGATATCGATCATCTTAGTGATCAATCATGATTCCCTTTAGAGATTAATTGATCAATCGATCACTCTCTAGGTTGATTAATTGAAAATTTTGATCAAAATAAGCTTCCCCGCCATTGAACAACTTCCCAGTGTTGTATAATAAAATTTAAAAAATTTTAATGTTGATTATATGGTTTCGATACTTTGGGTCAGGTGTATATATATTTTTTAACGATTATCGCAAAATTAAATTGCTTTTTAAAAATCTCTGAATACTGTACAATTGTCCAATGTACAGTTGTCCACTGTACAATTGTCTCACTGTACAATCGTCCCACTGTACAATTGTCGTGCCACCCTCTTTTCTGCCATTTTTCATATTGGCATAATGTTATAATTTTAAAAATTACTGTATTTATTCTGATAGAAGACCCGGGTTTTTATTTTTCAGTTTCTATTAGAGGGTGGATTTTTATAAGGGAATGGACTTCTATTGGAGAGTGGGTGTCTATTAGAACGAGCGTCTATTAGAAAGTGGGTATTTATTAAGGCTTCTGATAGAATAAATACAGTATATATTTTAGAATCCATGAGAATTCTAAAAACAAAAAATTTCTCGCCCACCTCCTGACTTGCACTAGCCTTAACTTGTTGATGTTGTTTACGTAAATGAAAAACACGTAAAGACAAAGCCAAAGATCTAAATTTCATTGCGGCACTATTTTTAATATTATTATTATTTTGTTTTTGTTGGCTATTTTTTTCTGTTGCAGAAGCTGCTGTTGCTACTAAATTTGTTGGAGTAGTAGAATTATCAGAAATTGAAAACGTTAATTTTTTCTTGAAGAAAGAGCCTGAAGAATCTGAAAAATATTTTAATTAAATATTAAAAATTGGTCAGAGCAAAGGAAATTATAGTAAAAATTTGTGAAGATGCCTGATACAGAATAGGGACGAAATCTTGCTCTAACTTGATCCAGACTTATTGTTAAATCTATCGAAAATTTATAAAATCCGATCTGGATCTAGGCAATGATATAATCTCTCAACTTTTTTTTATTTCATTATTGCCACTCTCGATACTACATATTACATTACTTATCAACATTTTTCTGTACTTTATTTTTTCTCCAAAAAAATACGCATAGGGTAAAATAACATTGATGGTCAGTCAATTGAGAATCCGGCTTTTAAGTTTTCGATGGAAAATATGTCAGTTCCAAGTTAACCCATGTGTATTATTTTGGAGAAATGGGGTGGGGGTTCGCGAGGGGGGGGGGTTCCGAACCCAGTCTCTCGAGGTTTTCTTTCACCGAGATATCAAAACCATAGAGCCTTTTAATATCACAAACACAAAAATCATAAATTTAATAGTTCCCTCAAAATGTCTAAAAAACTAAAGACCATGTTCTCCCAAAAATCACGAAGGAGTGAGACTTTAATTTTCGCTGGCAAAAAATCGCCGGGCATGTAAACGCCTCTCAAATTAAAAATTTTAATAATAATTTACTCGAAGCTTTAGGTTTTTCCTCTTCTTTAAGAGAAAGAGTTGTTAACGAATTATTAGAAGATGAAAGATTTTCTGTCGAAGATTGTTCAACAATAATAACTTTACAATCCTTTTCTTCTTCTTTTGTTTCTTTTAAAGGTTTATTATCACCTTCTTCTTCAATTTGTTGCTCAACTGTTGCTTCTTTCTTTTCTTCTAACAATAAGAAATGTTCTTTCCGTTCCTGAAAAAAATTAAATGAAGGGGAATTTATACAAATTAGATTTATTTATCTTTTTTTGCTTTAGATTTGTTTTATTTTTCCTTTTTAAGTGAGGGTTAGGGGGACGTTTAGGCGCGAGAATGTTAGGGCTTATATTTATTTATTTTCTTTATATTGTGAAAGGAAAGCACTTTGATTCTTTTAAAGTATAGTAACCAATGTTTGGCCGATTCCAAAAAAATAAAATTCGGGAAAAATCTGACCGGTTCTGGCCGATCTTTTTCGCCAGTTCCGAGTGTAGCTGAACACTACTAAGCAAATACACTAAGTTCATCAAGCCTCTTTTTTAATGTTTTCAATTTTTATTTATGAAAGTTTTTATGTAAATGATTCGATGATTTACATACTAGATAAATAATTCTTATAGGAAAAACATTTTTTAAAGAAAGTTAAATCCCCCTTCATTCAATTCCATATAGAAAAATCAAAGAGATACATTAGACCTTTTTAGCAATGCTTATAAAAAAATCAAAACATCCCACATATAAAATAAAAATTTTTTCGAAAAATTAAGAAAATTTAGGTAACTCCATCCTGGATATTTGAATTAAATTTCAAAAATTTAGTATAATTTTTGGCTATCATAAATCCGCGCCAAAAACTCCCCACGCCGAAAAGTCCTCTCCCTATTTAAATCGAGCAAAGAATAAATGGCAAAAATGCTTTTCTTGAAATAAATAAAAGGAATGTTTAAAAGAAAAAGCAATTTAAGTGGCAAGGGTTAATTTGAAGTGGGAAGTGAGAGAGAGAGAGGTGTTTCTAAATAGAATCCTTAATAAAGCGCGCAAAGGAAGAAGTCGAACACGGCAAAAATCAAAAGGGAGGGGAACGGGAATAACTAAAAAAGAAACTTGGAAAGAAGAAAAAGCTTGGTGACAGAATGCTAAATAAATTTAATTGGTTTCTAGAAAAAAAAATTATTTCCAAGCTAAAATGTAATTAGTTTTTGAAGTAAAAAATGCAAAAAAATTAGAAGAGTTGTTGGAAATTTATTAAATAAAAAATTTTTATTAAATTAAATTTTTTTCATGAAAAGATTTGGATATAAAATAATGTCATAATGAAAATTTTTTTATTTATAGTTTCGAATTTTAATTTTCGATTTTGGAAGTTTTCCAAATTTCGAAATTATTAAAAAATTTTTTAAAAATCCGAAACTTTGAGTTCTGAGTTAAGCAATAGATATGGTCTCTAAATCAATGGCCACTAAATATAGGAGCCGAATTATAACCAAAAAGATTTTTTTAATTCTTCATATAAGTTGAGTCATGGAGAGGTACTACTACTACTGAGAGTTTATTAAATTGAAGTATGATCCCTTCTTTCCTTGTTTTTTGCTTCTAAAGTTAAGTAGGGGATGACCCTAGTTAGCCAAAAATATAGAAGGTTTTTTCTTAAATAAATCTCTTAAAAAGGTTTTTCTCGTCGACGTATAGCCAGTTCTGATTGAAAATATTTCTTGAGATTAAGAAAAAATTAAAAATTCTGATTTTAATTAAATCAGAATTTCAGTTTTACTTAATATATATTATTTTATTTATTTAAATAATTTTTTAAATTATATTTTTGCAACGTATTTTTTGAAAAAAAATAAGGGAAAATGCCAAAATGCATTTATATTTATTTTTTCCCTTTTTACTCAAGTATCAAGTAAATATATTGGCCAAAATACGAAAAAAGGGGTAAACGAATACACAAACAAAGCTGTTTCTGCAACTTTCCCATAAATAAAAAAATATAATTTTCTTTTCCTTCAATTAGCAAAGCTTTTTTTAAAATAAAAAGTTGAGTGAATTAAGCTGGGATATGGATAACCTAAAGGTTTGTAAAATAAATTGGGGATAAATTCTATTTTAGAAATTTTGAGTTTTGAAGGTTTCTCTTTCGATTGCGAAGGTTTTTTTGATGCAGATATGCTTCGGAATCAAAAGATAGAGAAAAAAGAGAGAAAAACCATAATCCAATTGAATCTCTCAGTATAACTAGCTCGAAGGGGCCGAAAAAAACTTTCTTTATCGGTGTCTAAGGGGCATCATTATTAGAATTTCGATTATAAATAAGCAGCAAAGAGGGAAAGAAAAGTACAGATTTTGTCTCTCCGTTTTTCAAAGCGACTTATGGCATAAACAAGGATTTTAAAAATATTTTTAAAAAACAAAAAAAAATATTTTCCTTTACTTAATAAGCAAAAATGTGTGTGGTATGTATTTATTACTGAAAAGAAAAAAAAATTTAAAAAAAAAAGTTGGAAAAACAGAAAATTATTGTTAAAACTTGGAAAGAATGTAAATTTACTAGAAAAATGTTTTTTAAAAAAATAATTATATTCTAAACCTTTTTAGCCTGAAAATGACATATTTTTTAATAATAAATAAATTAAAAAAAAATTTTTTTAGGAGTGTCAATTGCATAAGAAAATTTAAATAAAAAATTATATTTTTTGTGATATTAATTAATAGGTAGGATTGTCAATCCGACATCAATAGGGTCTACATTTAGTTAATTTGGAAGCTTTAACTCGATAAAATTGGGGTCATAAAATAATGTAAAGAACGTCGGCTTTAACCAAAAACGGCCACCACCACTGCGATATACACGAGTTCCGATTTCGAGAATCGGAAATTCACAACCAATACAGAGAAGATTCTCTGGGAATTATGATAATATTTTTAATAATAAGCATGTATGTAATGATTGATTTAGTTAAAAACAGGCAAGTGTTCAATTTAAAAATGAGGGTGGATAAACAAAAATTTAGTTAGATTAAAGGTCTCATGAGGAACGAAATTTGATCTATAGAATAAATTTGAAAAATACGAAGATCTTAGCGAAAGATTGCAAAGGTAGAGCCTAAAAATTTTTGGATTTTTAATCTTTAATTCAGGGAACTCTCAATTTTTAAGACGTAAAATGGTGAACTATGATTACTGAAAAAGGGATCCAGTTTTTGAAAAAAGCGCAGAAATTGGTTTGATATATTTCCTCGATTAATTCCCCTCCCCCTCTAATTAATTTCCCTTCCTCGAATATTTTCCGTCCCTATAACGAGAAGGTTAAAAATATACTCTCCCACAATTTCCCTACTGCAAGCTTAGACTTAAAGCTTGAATAAATGCCCTCCCTAATTAATTGGAAGATAGTAATTGGGACTGGACCGAGAAGACAAAAATCAAGGTTTTCGGGCACTCTCCCACAATTACCCTATTACATCCTTAAAATTAAAGCTTGAATAAATTCCCTCCCTATATTAATAGTAGAGTCGAAATTGAGACGATAGCTCGAACAAAAATCAAGGTTATCGTCATATTGATCTCGATTCCTGTATAATCTAGTCTCTAGCTAAAATGACCAGAAACTAGTCCACTTTAAATAAACTACCTCCCCTATCCTCTACTATATATAATTTTTGCAACATTTTTGGATGTTCTAAAAAATATAAAAAAGTAAATGAAATTTGAGTAAATCCAAAAAACGGCAAAAATAAAAATTTTTAACAATAAAACTGTCATTGAAAGCTTTTTAATGTTAATAGAAAAAAAAGAAATGAGAGGCCTTAAGGCAAATGAAAAATAGTATATATATTATGTATTTAGGTGTGTGAGACTTAATAGGTCTTTTTTTCAACTCTCTTGGGATGGAAAAAATTTTTTTATCTAGATATATATTTAAAGCTTAAGTGTATATATTTAAAAGTAAAAAAAATAAATTTAGAAAAGGGAAAGTACTAAAATTAATTTAAAAATATTAAAAAAAAATTCAAAAAACGACAAGAGTTATTATCAAAACTTGAATTACAATGACAAACAGTCATTAAAAATGCTGACTATAATGACTAGTGATTGTTGTTTCAGTCAGAGCGTATCAAAAAGAGAGAAACCAGGGACAGATGGTTTTTTGGGCAGCCTCTTTAAAGCCAATTTCACTTAAACAACAATACCGGTATCGAAAACCGGGAGGAAGAGGAAGGTGAGTGAGGGAAGGAAATAGGAGGGGGTGTGGGTAATGGGGGGGGGGGGGGTGTAATAGTTAATAACATGTAGTGAACCACCTTAGAATGGACAAAATAAAATTTTAAAAAGCGTGAACGGAAGCATAATATCTGAGGAAACAGGCACAAACGTAAGAAAGTTTTCACATAAAAATATATATCCTGTCACCTTTATTAACTTGTGAAGTCATCAATACTAAAAATAAAAAAAGGGAACAAAAGTTGCCATTTCATGTTTATTTTTAGTTTTTTATTATTTATTTTATTTTTGTCATAAGCTTAAAAATAGAAATTATTTTATAAATATATTTTATAGAAATTTTTTTGACTTATAAAAATAGGACAATTGAACCTCGTCAGCATAGTGTACGCCCTTGGGGCTAAAAAATTCATACAAAAATACAATTACCGTATAAACTCAAATAAGGACCCTGGGCAATTATTTTTAATAAATCCAAGTATTATTCGAGAGGGGAAATTTTTTGGGATTCAAGCGCACATATACGGTAATTTTACACTAAAATGGAGGTATCCCCCTAATTTTAATTTTAATTAAACATCTTCTCCAAGGCCGCGGTCAACCAGATTTTAAAAACGTTCACTTACCTGAACTGAAGAAACGAGGATTTTTCTCCGATTCTTCGGTTTAAAGAACCAACAACCCCACCTAATTTTATTTTAGAATTCTCAAAAAAAGTTAAGTGATAAAAATATGATTAAAGAAATGAATTACATTTACGTCCCATCCTCCCTGTGTATCCAAGGAGACATAAAAAAATATTTAATATATAAAATATTGCCAAGTCATTTATTTTTATTAGGATTCATTAAAATTATTTGGAAAAAATCCTCTTTAGATTTGACTTTGATATGAAAAACGAAAATACAAAAATAAAATATAATAGCGGTATTTTTTCTGGAAATGTATAAAATAGCTATCCAATGCTCATGGATACGGATATGGATACAGATAATATCAAAATCTTTGCGTATATCCGTCTGTATCCGCCGTAAATATGCGGATACGGATACCAAGATCAGTATCCGTGAGCAGGTCTGTTTTAAATTTTTAAAAAATCAAGCTTAAAAGTAGTCTTATTTTAAAGCAAAGAACATTGAAATAGACGAGTTTTAAGAAAAGTTATGGCCGTTTTTTGGTTGTTTTTTAATGAAATTTTTTTCCGAAAAAATATTTTTTTTGTATTTTCCCTCACTTTTTTAACGTCTATCAAAAAATATTTTTGAAGAAACGATAAAAAATTTTCTTGATCCTTTTATTCTTTAGTCTGTCATTGAATAGGGTTTCATTCAGTAAATGAGAAAAAAGAGGAAAGAGACATTTGTGACGTGAAAATAAAAAAAGAATATTTTTTTGGTTATTGTTTTGGGAATTAAAAAAATATTTTTATTTATTTACTTTGAGAATTTTTAAGAAGAAAATATTTTTTATCCATAAATAATTTTTAAAAAATTTATTTTTAATAAAAAGACTAAATTTAAAAATAGTTAAAACCACCTAGAAATGAGGTAAAGCACAAGAGTGTGCTAGTTTCGCATTTCGCAAATTTTTGTCTTTTTTGGCGTTTCGCCTTTTCCTTAGTGCTTATTAGGATTAATTTTGGTACGCCCCTAGGTAGCGAAAATAATTACCATGGGTATTTATTTTTTCCTTCACTCACTGGAGGGGGCAATTATTTGAGCGAGGGTGTACTGGAGAGGGTACTAGATTTTAAAAAATAAATTTGGGGTGGATCTTAATGCAATCGGGGATGAAATTGTTTTGATATAAATTCTTAAAATGTTTAAGATTAGCTTGGGAAAAATAGGAGTATAATTATAGCAAACTTTGACAAGTTTCGGATTTTATCCGCAAATATATCCATATAGCCATAAAAGTGTTTAAAAAAGCAGAAAAATAAATATAATTGAAACCCCCTTTTTTAATTCCTTTTTTGGGGTTATTCTAAAATTTAAATATAAATTTTATTGAATAGAAAATTGGCTTTTGGTCAATTTTCCTTTTTATTTCTGCCTCAAAAAAGCCATTTTAGCATTTATTTCAGTACAATGACCCTGAGAGGAAATAAAAAAATTTTTTCTAATTTTATTCCTTGGACTCAATTAAAAAATACATTTTTGGCACAAAAAAAGAAAAATAAATAAATAAAATTAGGTGAGAAAAGGGAAATTTGTATAGAATTAATTTAATAAAAAATAGATAAAAAGACAACATTTTTTGGTAAATATTGCTATAAAGTGTAAATAACTAGTTTTTAGGGGGGGGGGGTTACGTTAGAGATAACTTGAATAGAGGATACAATATTTAAAAGCATTTTTGCCATTATCGGATATTATTTTGGCACTTTCAATTAAACGATAATCTCACCTACCGTATATCCTTTAATAACTACCCTGGGTAATTATTGTTTCGACCTTCCGCTGGAGGGAGAAATTAATCAAGGGAGGGTAATTATACGAGGTTTAAAATTTGAACGTGTTTTAGGCCATTTGTTTGGGGGTAATTATTGTTTCAATCTATCTCTGGATGAGGTAATTAATAGAAGTGGGGTAATTATTTGAGGGAAGGCAATTAATACAGGTTATACGGTATACAACACTTCCACTTATACGACACTCTAATCTTGCTGTACAAGAGGTGTCTACAAGTGAGATCCCATTACATTTCTTAATATTAAAAAAATTATTTTCACCTTATTCTGCATGTCCAAATCATCAGCTATTACTTCATTACTTTTTTGTGACATTTTTAGAATTAAAATAGGTATATAAGTTGAAAAATTAATTTTATGTTGAGAAATTATTTTTAATTTAAGCAAATCTATAAAAATTTAAAGAAATATTTAATAATATAAAAATGGGGAGAGATTAGAGTTCTTATTATTGTCCGGACTGTGAGTTCGAACGATAATCGAGATGGATATCTCTAAAAATCCTGATTGTTGGTAACCACGATTTTTGTTCGATCTCAAGTTATTGCCTTATTCATTTTGGCATTCTTTATAACTTTAAAGAAAAATAAAGTGTGGGTGTGTATATTTGGTTAAATTTTTTAGTAAATCTATCAAAATTGAAAAAAGTAAATTGAATAAAATAAAAATAAAACAAAAGTTTAAAGTTTTTTGCGACAAAAAAGGAATTGAACGGGAGGAACATTCATGTCAGTAATAAGATTTAATGATGAATAGAGCAAAGGAAAGGTGTTAAAGTGCAGATTTTTTGTCAAGTTTAAGAGCAATTTTAAAGAAATTTTTTGTTTAAGATTGTAAAATAGACATTAAACACAAAAATAAAAGAATTAAAAGCAAGGTAAAAGTTTAGTATCGAGCAGGCATCTGTCCAGTGACCTCCTGGCCATTATTGCTAGGCACCTTCGCTCAACATACAGGTGCTCAACCGACTGAGTTTTAAATTTATTTCTTTAAAAAAACTATTAAACTCTCGATAATGTCGAATCTTGTGGAAGAAAAGAGTACGTAAAACAGAGGTACAAGTAAATCAGTGTAGGATTGGGAGGATTGCTTAGTCAGCCCCTACCCATTGTCCAACCAAATAAACTAAAATTAAAATTTACGCACATAGAGAAGAACGGTCCTGTTTGCTAAAAGGACTCCTGACTCTACATATAACAGTTTTTGATTTTATTTTCGTTATAAATTCGAAAATAACAATTAGATAGTCTCTACTACCCAGAACTTTTGTATTAAGCTGTGATTTTTTTTGAATAATAATTTTAAAATATTTTTTTAAATAATTTATTAAATAAACGATGATTAAAAAATTTGTTTAACAAAATTTTTAAAATTTTAGAATGAAAGGATATTTTTAATGACATTTTGGAAAGAATAGTAATATTTTAAAAAATGCACAAAAGACTGATTAATACTTTATGACAGTTAAAAAAACATTTTATTTGAGAAAAGAAAAAATTTAAATTTCAACTTTTGTTTTTTTAAATAAAAATTTTTTAATTCTAAGAACATTTAAGCTGGACCATCTTAAGGAATTGGTACTGTCTAAACTCGATATTAGACTTGAAGGGGCCGGAAAACTCGAAGGAGCCGAAAAAGTAGTTCGTTACATCGAGGGATTTCGTTAAATAGAGATGTCATTATATTGAGCTTCGACTTAAGGTGAATGAATTGTAGACTGTAAAATCAGAACAAGGTCTTTGATTTTATTTTTCTGATTCAAATTTAATTTCTGAATTAGCCCAGAGTTTTCTTTACATTTTCTCGTTCGGATAATCTACATAATTGTGAAGTTTATTTGAATGAAATTAGAAATTATCCAATTAAGAATTATTTATTGTGAAATTTGACTAGAAAATATCTCAAGAAAATTAGCCTAAATAAGTCAAGAAAAATTTGGGAAAGCCAGAGAAATTAAATTTCCTTACAGACTTTTTCAATAATTTTTCCAGAAAAACTATTGACTTTTTATATATAAAAATGGAAAAATAAATAAAAATATAATATTTTAAAAGGGCATTGAGTGTAAGTAATTGGAAAAAAATCTCATTTAGAGAGAAACTAAAACATGACACTCAATGTTTTTTGTTGGCATTTTTTGTAATAAATGCGAAAAGATTGAATAAATGTGTAAAGGAAAAAGGAAGTCTGAAATAAAGAAATTTAATCCAACAAGTTAAAAATTAGAAAAATAAACGGAAAAAATTGCCAAACTTTGGAAATTTGGGGTAGGGGCTAAAATACCGATTTTTAAAAACACCTTGCCGATTAGAAAACAATGACAAACAGACAGATTTTAAAGAATGATTTGGTTTAAGTTTTATTGAACAAAATGTTTATGTATATTGAAATCAAAACAGGCAGGGTCCTGATAATGTTTTTCTTTTAAATTAACCATATTTTTAAAGACTTATATTTTTAGCCTTGTAGCCCTGAACCAGGCACCTTTGAAAAAATATTTTTTAATTATTTGTCCAATAAACAATAAATAAAATTTCAGCCCCGCAGGCAACGATTCTCCAACTTCTAGCTAGAGGACCAAATGTTATTGAATGTCAAGGGATGTTAAGGATCAAGGATGTTAAGATCAAAGATGTCAAGGATCAATCAAATATCAACCAAATTTCTAGGGGACCAAATGTCATTGAGATAGATTTCCAACCCTCCATACATAGTATTTCAAATATTAACTTCTCACTTAAATAAAATTAAAAAAATAATAAGCAAATGAAACAGTGGCTGTGAATTTGTCTTAACTCCATTTAATAATTATAAAATAATTCGTAGATCATTAGTCTTTTAACAGATTAAAAAGAACATTCCTTTTAATCCCAAAAATATCAAAAAAAGAAAATCATTTGATTGATTCTTTTAAGAACAAAAGAATTCTTTTGTTGGCAACATTGATTTTAAACATTTGACACTTTTTTGAAAGCTTTTTTCACGTCTAATCATACCCTCAGACAAATAATTAATGATTTTACTTAAAAAGCAACAATTTAAGTTAAATGAGGATAAAGGGACCAAATGTCATCATTCAATATTTTTTTTAAATTTATTAAAAGGAAAGAGGAAAGGCAAATGTTTTACTTCTATTGTTCCGATTTTATAAACTTCCGTCAAATTTGTGGGAAAAATGAAAAAGAAAAAAAATTTTTTGCTTTCAAAATTTGAAGTTAAAGGAATAAATTAATAATTAAATTTTCTGAAAATATTGTTTTAAATATTTTTTTAATGGATCGCTAATCTGTCCGGTAACCAAGATCACTAGTTGCTGAACGAGTTATACTGTATTGAAATAATTTTTTATCAAGCTTTGTGAAATTTTAAAAGCTTAAAATGATCGCCAAAATGGCTTTACTTTTTCTAAAGCATTTCCAAATTTTTTAAGGTTGCTCTCCATGAGGGCGCACATTTAGGAAAACAATCAGGACACAGGAACAAATCCTGAAATGCATCGAGGGAACAAATCTACAATTAAATTTATTTTTTTTACAAAAAACTCTTTCTTCGTTAAAGGAAGTTTTACTACTAAAATAGGGTTAGGACATACATATTCCAATCTATCGAAACTAAAAACAATTCAAAATAACAATTTATTACAAACAAATACAATACAAACAACAAAATATATATTACATACAATAGAAAGAATATATGGGTATAGGAAAAGGAAACAATATATATAGGGACATAGCAAAGCAACAATATACAGAATATGTATCTTATTTTTATATCTCGAGCGTCACCTTCACAACTTCCGGGCACAGGATATATCCCTAATATCGCTTCTTATCATCAATGCTGGCCCCGGGAAGCAATGGCTTATCGATGATCCTTGACTCTCCATATTCAATCGCAGTTGACGTTCCATCGATCACTTCGAACGGCTTGATATTATTTTCCTGAAATATAGAAATGAATAGTTGACATTCAAAAAAATATATTTTTCACCGTTTTCCATTCCTTGAAACTCCCAACGGCATCATATCCCTTTTCAGTCAATTCCAGAGCATATTCGCGATCGTTGAGCTCCTTGTCCTTCTGCTTATCGAACTGGTCTGCAAGGAATTGCATTTTGTCCTTGGCGTTTTCCTTCTCAATTCTCTTCCACAGTGTACCAACCAATTTTTCAGTCGGAACCGAACAAAGCCCTGCCCTCTGATCTTCCAGCTTTTTCTGAAAAATTTGGAAAATTAAAAGGTTGTTTAGTAAAATTTTTGAGCTTACATCTTCCTTCCATTCCTCAAATGGCTTGATGTTCTTTATGAGCTTTGCTTCAGTTTTGTACAGAGCAAGCACATCTTCTTCTTCTTTACGTTCGCGTTTAATCTCCTTCAACTTCGCAGAATTCACCTTCATCCAGGACCGTGTGAACCATGCCAAGATTCCAATGATGATTATACCCACAATAGCGGCAACCAAAATCAGATAAAACAGCCATCCATTGGATTCCTTCGGGCACTTGCTTTCCGCTGGACACTTTAACGCTGGTGTTGAAATGTTTTTGGCCGTAGTTGTTGTAATCACTGGAGTCGTTGTTGGACTAGTAGCATATATTGAAGTTACAGGTGTTTCTGGATCCGTTGAAGAAATTTTTTGAGTCGTTGTGGTTGTCGTCGTTGTCTGTGGCGGAAGAGAGACAAACAGCAGCTCGTAGTCATTTCTGTCCTAAATTAAATAAATTTAAAGAGGTTTTTCAAAAATAATGTAGAAACTCACAAATTGGACGAAGAGACCACATTTCGATCTGGCTGATTTATCAAAGAGGCTTGTACCATCGGACACAACAGACGCACTCAATGGAAGCAGGCTGAAGACAAGTAGAAGTTTATCCTTCAGATCCCCTTTTGTGATGGTCCATGCTTCTGGGGCAACGAAGGGCTTATTTTTTGGAACGCATATGGTAATATCGTCAACTGAATTATAGTCCGTCTTTTCTTCCGCAAAATTCACCGTGAATTTGCCTCCGCTTTCTATCTCCATATTGAAGATTATTTCGTCTTTTCCACCGTGAGCTATAGAAAGCTTATTGCTTGACTCAATTTCGCCAACTAAAAAGACAAAAATACGTACAATTATGTATATTATTTTACCTAGATGGGTGTATGCATAGACATCTCCACCAAATTTGCTCCATGAGATTTCGAGAGTTGTCCACCGCCTGCACATTCCACATGCCTCTCTGTTCTTACAACTTTCCTTGTGAGCATAGATAGGACCATAGCCGAGCCTTTCGACGACCTTGTTGTTTTTGCTGTAGACGAACGGCATGCTAAAAGGCTGATATAAAATTTTCAAAAATTCAACACCTACATATTATTAAAGCTATTTTGGACACTGACACCAGCATCAAGACAATCTTTGAGTTCCCCTTCTCTTTTCCTCACTCCAGCCTTGAACTTGATCTTGTTGTTGTAGTCTGTGTTCTTGACTAGCAGGTCCACTGTGCATCCAGTGATGTTGTTGTACTGAAGCTCACTGGAAAAGAAAACAACTTTGATTTATAATTTTTAAAAACAAAAAAGCAAACTTACATGGTTTTGCTGTCGATCTTAACATCACATGCATTCGGGAAGCGCTTCCTGTTCTCGTCGGAGTTGAAGTTTGTCTCGTTAGCCTCGATGGTGAAGTTTACCAGTGTAACTTTGTCTTCAATCTTTTTGTGATTGGCAACTCCGACGAATTCCTCCTTCATCTGTCCAGGCACTTTACACACAAGGAATGTTGCGATGACGAGCAGCAGCAGCAAGGAGCACAGTGTTGACGACTTCCTTGTCCCAGGGCCGGTGTCGAACTCCAATGGATGAAGGCGACGGTCAAGCATGAAGTGTTGTTGTTGTTTTTAGCGTAGAGAACGTTGATGTTTGTAGAGTTGAAAATGTTTTGCAGAAGTTGTTGACATTGAAGAAATGGCTTTTATAGTAAAATCTAGTACTTTTCATTGTTTCAATCAAAAAAAAACAATTATAAAAGCCCCAGGATTGAACAATCAACTACTCTACTCCAACAAATCGTCCGTCTACTCATTTTCAACTCATCTGGCGCGAAGGTATACTCCTTTTTTCATTTCTTAATTAATCACTTAATCTAACATTTTTTTTCAATTTAGTAAAGATGATGTTCGGTGCTCGTCGACGGAATTCATTGCGTGGGGACTACAGAGAGGCCCGCCGTTTTCGCAACCGACGTGAGTACAGTGCCTGGTGGGATGCGGGTGAGGTGAACAACTGGCGGATCAATTCACGCCATCCAAGTCGTCATGGCACGGTCGAGTACTGGAGATGCGCGGTAAATAACTTCTTTTCTTTGTTATAGTTCAAAAGTCTAATCTCATTCTTCAGTTCGCAGTGGGACGCTTCTTCACTTGTCCGAGTCGCATCCGCGTCACTTTTGGCTTCGGTGACCGCTATGTGATTGTTGCCAGCGCCAGGAATCATCCACACAACCACAATCGGCAAAACAATAATGCTGCTGTTAGTTTTCTGTGTTAAACAGCTCGTTTTATCACGCCTTTTAAATTTTAGGACAACAACCCAAATACTGTGCGCCGCGTTCTTCCTATGGAGGCATCACAACTGATGACTGCTCGGAACGTTTTTATTGGCCCGAGACCGAGTACTTCCGCTCCGAATCAAACATCAAGAAAGAGTCAAGCAACGCCACCTAGAGCATCGGTCTCGACAATGTCAGCGAACGCGAACGCTGCTACGCCAACGACTTCCAACGCTTCGGCAGTTCAGAGAGGAACGGATGCCCCATCAACATCGGCTGCTGCTTCTCGTCCACTGAAACCGCCAGGATTTGCGCTTGCTGCCAGCGCAGCTGCAACCAATGTAAATTTTACCGATTTTTGTCGTTAATCCTCCTATTCTTTTATTTTTTCAGCCAGCTCCAGCGGCTACTTCACAAGCTTCTGCATCGACTCCGGGAACGCCTGTGCCTTCTCCAGCGTCCAGTTCTACTTCCGCTGCTGCTTCAAAGCCAACGCCCAGCCCTGCTCCAGCTGCTGCTACCAAGCCTGCTTCAACGCCAAGCTCTGCTCCAGCTGCTGCTACCAAGCCTGCTTCAACGCCAAGCTCTGCTCCAGCTGCTGCTACCAAGCCTGCTTCAACGCCCAGCCCTGCTCCAGCTGCCAGTCAACAGGCTTCTACCAATGAAAAACCTGCGCAACCTTCAGCGGCTCCCGGAACAACTGCTACAAAGCCTACTATAGTGGCCGGTCACACAGTTCCTGGACAAGTACCTCCATCTTCTGCCACAAGTAGCGGTCAAATCAATGCCAGCCTAACTGCTCCAAATGTTCGTTTTAATTGCTTAAAACATTAATTCAATTTCTTTCATTTTTCAGGCTTCAATTCAAGCGGCTCTAGGACCGGCATCTTCTCAGCCAAGCTCTGCACCTGCAACAGTAAGCGGCACGCAGAACAAAGAAGACAGCAAGAAGGAGGAGAAGAAGGAAGAAAAGAGAGGACCAGGCTGATCCAAAATGTCATCTGACTGTACATATTGACTTTGCCATAGTTTTTGTCCCAAATTGATGCATAATGTACATATTTCCAAATTCACCCCCATTATATATATATATTCTCTTTTGTGTTTTCTGTACATATTGTGCATATATTGTATTTATTTGGCTATATTTGTAACTGTAAATATGTGTAGATTTTTTGTTGATAAAATTGAATTTTAGTATTGTTTTTACTAAGGAAATTTTTTGAGAGTAGAAATACAGAATAATTTATATTTTCATTCTTACTTTTGCCCTTTGTTGCTAGGAGTAAAATAGCCATTAAAAGACTGTCCATTTTTGGACTCCAAAAATTTCGGTTCGTTTACGAACCGAACTAAAATCTTGTTCTAATCAAGGCGCTCGTTTCATAACCAAGTATGTTTCAAGGTGGTCTACTTTGTCCATTTTCGGACTATAAAAAATCGCAAAGCCATAACGGGTCTAACAATTCCTGGGAATTTATTTGACAGAGCTTTAATTTGTTGAGAGCTTTAATTTCGCTCAAATAGTTATTAGTCACAAATTTTAAGTACCATTAATTACAAAGTCCCCAAAAAAAATTTAATTTTACAATTTCTGATCTTTTCCAAAAAAATGGACACAACGAGAGACATTCAAAAAATATTCAGAATATAATAAAATGACAAAAAAAATTTTAAAAATTCTTGAGATCAAAAAAATTTTTTGAATTTTATTTTTAACGTCTTCGTCGTCTACCAGATCCTCCGCCAATCAAAACATCTTCAGCTGGATTATTTCCATCTCCCCATTGCTGTAAAGTGCATTGTACGGGTGAGAAAAAGCCTGGGAAAAATGGAATTTAATTTTTAAAAGATGAAAATTTTTTTTAGAAATTTCTAAAAATTTTTCAAAATTTTATAAAAAAATTTGGAATTTTTCAAAAAAATTTTCAAAAAAATTTTTATAAAAATTTTTCAAAAAAAATTTACAATTTCTGTCATATTTTTTAGCCAAAAAAGGCGTTTCTTGTTGACGTGCCATCAATTCCAAACTATTCAAATCGCGCCTTCTCTTTCTTTGTTTGGCAATTTCATTTTTTGGCTGAGCAAAAAATTGTAGTAATTGGTCGTTTTCTATTGGGATTAGAGCTGCTTGACCGTCAGAATCTCTTTAAAAAATTTAAATTAAATTTAAAAATCTCTTTATGTTTTCTACCAACAACCCAGATTGGGATAACTAAAATATTAAGATAAATGACGGGGAAATTTGGATATGTTTAAAGAAGGGAAATAAGTTAAAGGTTGTGTTGTTCCACCTTTAAGAACGAACTCAGATCGGGATAACAAAGCTTTGGATAAGTGAGAAATTTGGCTAGAAAAAGTAATGAAGGGATAAATTGAAAGGAAATTTTGGAGATTTTGATACATTTTTGAGGGGAAAATTTTTTTTTAAATGCTCAAGTCGATACTAAGACTAGGAATGGAAAACCTAAAAAACACTAAATTTTTGATTTAAAAGCTCTGGGGGTTTTCTGAATTTATTAATTTTTTAATAAAATTTATTATTCAACAAAATCTGCAATTTTCTGTTTATAGAAACAAAATTCAAAAATGTTCAAAAACCAAAAGGAAATAAAAATAATTTTTATTACTTCCCCCAATATTCTGAATTATTAAAAAAACTTTGAATAATTTATTAGAAATATGCAAATAAAAAATAATTAGTATTTTTTTGAATTTTTTGCAAGAATACTTAATTTGTTAAAGTAATTATTTAATAAGAGTTCTTATATTTATTTAAATTTATTTTTACTTCCTTAAATTAATTGAAGGAATATATTTACTTGTAATTAAATTTTTAAGTGATACACGAAAAAATACAGACCCCAGGAAAAAAGAAAAACTTAGAAAATGGGTCAGAACCAGTCTGCACTTAATAGATAACTTTATTATCAAATAGGTTCTTACTAAAAAACGAGGTCAACAGTTAAATTTAATATTCAAGTCAATTTCAAAGAGGTCTAGTCTTGCTTATTACTATAGTCAAACTTCTTAAATTGTAGGGCCCGGTATCTTGGTTTTTTCTTTTAAATTGACACGGGTCGTCTCAAATTAAAAGACAAAAACTCGGATCTTATAAAATTTTAAACCCGGTCCCATGCCCAGTTTGAACTCTAAACAATTTTCTTATTAAAATCCCTAGCCCATCTAATTCCCCCATTTTTTACCTCAAAATAGTTGCCAAATAAATTTCTCTGTTGTTATCAATAGGCATTGCTTCAATTTTTTCCATAAAATTTAAAACAAGCAAAAAAGCCCAAAAATAAAGCATTAAACGTGGAAGGAGTTTTAACAAGTTTTTAGAAAAATTAAAAGACGTTGATGAAGAAAATGAGAAATTAATAAAGGACATTTTTAATGGGAATATTGTGTGGTCCTTAAAAAAGAAATTATTTATTTATTTAATTCATTAAAGTGATGATATATTAATTTATAAAATAAATAGATTAATAATACATCAATTTATATTTTTGACGACATTTTTTGACGGCATTTTAGAAGGGAAAAGGAAGGAAAATTTTATGGAAATTTAGCTGGAAAGGGCGTCTAAACTAAACTGGAAAGAGGGAGGAGGATGTATTTTAAGGAAATAAGGAAAGAAAATTTGTCAGAATATTTTTAAAAAAATAATTTTTGTATTTCCTTGAATTGCGAAATTGAAGTTTAAAAAAATACAATTCAAAAAATACATATTTTAATTTTTAAACTATAAACATTAAACTTTAATTATTATTAAAATGTAGTTCAGCACGAAACGAAAAAGGAAAAAATTAATTATTTCGAATTTTTGTTTCGAATCAAAATAAAAAATTTTTCGTTTTTTAACAGCTTGTCTAAGACATTTACAACAGTTTTAAGCAGGAAGGATAAACGCGTATAAATTTCGTTAGGTAATTGTTAACTGTTTTTTATGGTTCAATTCATTTTTGATGAAGGAGACATCTTATTAGAGAACAAGTTTTTAAGAAAACTAATATTTCAAAACAAAATATTGTCATTATCAGTTTAACATTCTTTAAAATTTAAAGGCACGGGAGGAAATTATGCTCGATTTTATGAGATCCCTCAAGGAATCCCTGGTTTAAGCGACAAAGACGGAGGATTAAAAAACTTAATTCGAGTGTTTGAAACCCAATCCCGTTGCGGAGCGCGGGAATGAGATTTTGCCGATCTCTACTAAAATTATTTAAAATAATTTCTAATCAAAAATAAATTAATCTTGTAATTATTTTTGTACAAATGACAAAAGTATTATTATTATTAGGTATTTTTATTTTATTAGCTTTTAAGGCTTTCTAATAAAAATATAAAAAATAAAGAATTAATTTGCAATAAAATAATGCCATTATTTTTTATGGGAAATAATAAATGTATTAATAATTTATATATTTATTTAGGAATAAATAGACAAATAAATGACTTTTTAGACCAAAAAAAAAGTTTTTTTATTGGATAATTGTTGAAGTTAAGGGTGGGGAAAATGTTAGCAGTTATAATAAATTTCATCAAATTTTCTCTGAAAAAAAAATTCTTAAATTTAAAAATTAGTGAAATACAAGTCTAAAAAAGAGTAATAAAATATTCTTAAGAACTTGCCAACATGAAAAATCTCAACTAACTTAAATAAAAAATTCAGAATTTTTGGTTTAATATTTATCTCCAAAGTTTTGAAGGAAAGATTGAAATATTTTCAAAAGAACTGTAAAACCACGCAAGTCGCTTCCCAAGTCTTGCAAATATTAGAGGAAAAATGAAAATAATCGGTCGATGGAGGGATGTCGAGAAGTTAGAAGTCGAATCGGAGATAAGATTCATGGAATCTTCGGGTATTCAGAACAGAAACGAAAACATAATTGAATAACTCTCAGCATCAATCAAGCCGATCCTTTGCTATTTTCTGGGGCTTTGCTAAACATAATTTTTCTGAAATTCTTGATATCTATTAGTTTACACAGTTTTGGATATCTACAGAAAATTTTATAGCTTTAAGTCTATTTTTGGGTATTTTATAAGTTCAGAACTTAACGTTGTCTTAATGTTCTAATGCCGTGTTTACATAAAAAAACGCTTAGCGTTTTCGGCAAAAAATAGTATAGAAAAGTAAGAGAGAAAAAACGCCGGCGTTTTTTCTCTCTTATTTTTCCATACTATTTTCTGCCGAAAACGCTAAGCGTTTTTTTGTGTAAACACGGCATAAGGGAGGGGAAGAATTTAGAAAAAATTTTTAACAAAATTTTTGAGGGATTTAAATAGAATGGCCAAATAAATTTAATTTTAACCTCTCTCTAGAAATATATTTTAGATTAAAAAAATATTTTTTTATTCGCAACTATTTAATTATTAATGCCCCACCCCTTAATATTTATCATATGTATTTAAAGCTATTTTTAGAAAAAAAATAAAATTAAAAATCTACAAATTTGTAAGAGAGGGTGTGGAAAGATTAAAAATAAATATTTAGAAAAAATATATGATTTATTTTAGGGTTGTTTTTTAAATTAAATTTTTGTTGTTTTTTTATTTGAAGTGATGTGAATATTAAAAAATATCTTATTGAAAATATGGTGCGACATCTGAGAACACGACACTTTTGTGAAGATAATTTAAGGGATTTAAGGGAATTTAGGGGATATAAGAATATTTAATTTTATAAAAGACAGGTTAATTATCCATAAAATGATATAAAGTTTAAAAAAAATAATGGCAATGAGGTTGGAAGTATACATAGTACAGTGTTCCACATAACTATAATCTCACCCTAAATTTTCGAATTTCTTAACTTCTATCAAATCAATCGGGCTGATTTTTATTTTATACATATTTATTAAAGCGGGTAACAATTCATATAAACCCGAGAAATCGAAAAAATTTCATTTAAAAATTTTTTTATCCAATTTTTTTTAAAAAACATCCTCCACATGACTATAACCTCACCTACAGAAATCACAT